CTTTTCAGTCTTTTTTCTAGCCTCAAACTCACTGCTTTGAACTCTGCCAGATCTCTTTCTCTACCAGTATTCGTAGCTTTGAACCAAGCTTTCGTTCTAAAATGGAAAAGTCTCTCTATGTTTTGGGGCACATTATACTTGCCCACAGCTATCATTTTCATGGGCACAAAAAGATCGATGGTATGGTGAAGTATGAATATAAGCAATTCATACATTTCGTTGACTGTATTAGCCGCACTCAAGCAACCACACCAATCAATCGTTTCTAAGTACTTCACAGCACCAACCATGTCGGCCTTTTTGTAGTCTCTTCTCAAGGTGTAATTACTTTTGACCTCACCGGTACTATTCATTCGAAAACTAATGAGTGCATGATCGCTTGAACCAACTGGTGGTTCAACTGTAACATCAGTCACCAGACCTTTCTCATTCGTAAAAATCAAATCTAGTATACTCTTGCCCAAAGTATACGCTTTGACTTTCTGTATAAACTGATGACTAATGCACATATTCAGAAAATTTCTCGCCGCAACATTGCCTTTCGGTACCTCGAAAGTATCCCAATCAATAGAGGGCAAGTTAAAGTCCCCTAGTACTACGGATGGATATTCACAAGATACAAGATCAGAAATAGCTTTAGTCATCTGTTCTAACGCTCTATTGGAGCAAGAAGGTGTTCTGTAAATCAGAACCAATCGAACTTTCTTATTCTTTGTCAGGATGTCAACACTTAAGACCTCATAGCCATCTTTAACCGATTCACTAAAGATTAGTTGGGGACAGAAAGACCTGGCTATCAACAAAGCAACACCTCCCCCTCTTTTACTTGTACGGTCACGCCTATACACTTCATAAGTAGAGCAAAGATCTCCAAAAAGTGATACATTGCTAATATCATAGTCTTCCACCAACCAAGTTTCTGTAAGTCCTATTACGCTTGGTGAATTACCATAGAGGAGGAATCTGAGACTATTTATGTTTTTCTGCAGCGATCTAATGTTTGTTACAAAACACAGGAGAGAACTATCAACTTTCCAAGGAGGCTCTATGCGTTTAAAGAATCAACCACTTGCGTATGAGGAGTGTTACTAATCGATACATCCATGTGACTATGATCTTGATTAGAAACATTGACATTGCTATAATCGATACCAGTATCAATACGTTTTGGGCCCCTCACAAGTTTATAATTTTCTCTTTCCTCCCTCGACATAGATGGTCTAATGTATATACCCCTTCTAAACGGGAAGTTCTTCATCAGAGGAGCGCGTTTAAGCGTCAACCTAGCAAAAAAAGACGACGGTAATACTACTTTCAATAAGCGATTATGAGAAGGACTGGGCTTGCCCATGCGATACGACATGACGGGAAAACATTCAATATCCAAGAAGTCAAGGATCTGACCTACACAATTGTTGTCGTGCCTGACTCGGCAGTTGCTTGACCTTTCGTGGCTCTCAGGTACTCCAATAAAAACCAATGATCTTCTTTTTTCATTGTCTTCCAATTGCCCATCCTTTGTGTCCTTTTCGATCGATTGAACAGGAGCAGATCTAGTAATAGATTCTTTTAAGCGACTGTTTTCTGTTCTAAGAGAAACGACTTCTTCCGAAAGCTTCTTGACATTCTCCATTAACTCACGGTTGTTCCGCATCAATTCTTCCATTTCTTTCCGGCTATCGATGAGGTACGCCAGGATTGTCCTGGCGTAAAGCGGAATTTGCTGGTCCTGAATGAGCGCATTCGTGGCGGTGTAGAAGTCCAGCGACGTCTCTGGCGAATTATCGAAGCTCAGCCTCCTTTTCCTTTGGCGCTCTATTGGTTCCAATGGATAGACCGGGGTATCCTTGATATCCTTGACCATGGATGCAGACGAATAGTCAGAATAAACGAGAATATGCAGCGGTGTGGTAAGGTGGAGGTGCAGTACAGTGCGATAGTCGAGCGGTCAGTCGATAGCTGGGTCAACGCGACCGCTCACCACGGGCGCAGGCTGCCGATATAATATATTAGTAGGGCCCCCTATCAATCCAATGACCAAGTCGCGGCGCAAAATGCCGCTTCGGAAGCAAGAAAATCGTTTCGGAATAGCGAAGATGCACGAGGACCCCAGGGCCCGGCACGAGTCGGTTTCTAGGATTTCTAAAAACGAAGTCTCTCCTAACTTTCGGAAGTTTTACGAAGTCCCCTTTGACCTACCTGCTTAGGAGAAGATGAAAACAAGAAAGATTTACTAATCTGAAAGAAAAGACGTAACATAAGAGTGAAAATCCAAATTGAGGGTGAATGCTACGCATGCACAACACTTTGGCATTGGAGCGCGATATTTAACAAAGCGAGAAGAAATGAAGGCAAAAAACAAAGAAAAGGCAATGATATGAAAATGTTTTCATGCTCAGGGATAGATTTTTGACCGGGGAGTCCGTCCATGCTAAAAAGATCCGAAACTTATGTGAAGTGACGAAAATATATGCTCCAGACGATCTCAGATCGTCTGGTGGCCGTCTGGAGACGATCTAATTTTGGAAAAGATATTACTTACATAAGTTTTCAAACCTTTTTACATAATTCTTTCGCAAATAATTTTCTATACATACAGTTCAATTTTGGTGTTATATGCTTGTGTGTCCGCTGCAAACAAGCAATTTGTTTATTTTAGCCTTGCTTTCAAATCGCGCGCACTTTCCGCCATGCACGATAGAGCATGTCAATCGTGTGATAACCTGTCCGAAACGCTTGTGTTCGACTAAACGGCGCTTAATCTTGGTGCTCGGTTCCGAATCGTCAAAAACGATATCCCTTTTGCTGTTTGCTTCAAAAACGAAGTTCAGCCTGCTTCCAGACGATCTGTGCCGGGCCCTGGAGGACCCCCATCCATGCCCGCCCATTTGTGTGCACCCATTCAATCACTGCTCCGGAAAGCCAGCATGTGGGTTCCTCGGAAAGGGGATTATCGGGGTTTTTGCGGATTCTCGACTTCATATACGGAATCAGGGACCTGAGAAGGCCCTGAAATGACAAAAACGTGGAAGTCGAAAATCTGGGTGGACGGTGCCTTCAGAGGGATTCTAATAGGGGGTTTTGCGCATACTCTCGATACCTAGATCCATGTACTCTGGTAACCTTTGCTTTGAGCCCCTTGACAGAGCACAACCTTCACATAAAAAAACAAAAAGCCCGGGACTTCGTCCCGGATGTTTCAATTTTGACTCTATCAGAATGAATGTGAATGAAGCAAATATAGGGAATAATATCTTCAGATTATCTCAGCGAAACCGAGAATTTACGTTTTCATAGCCTTTTTTATGCTAGAACGTTTCTGTGTACGTTCCTCCAGAATTCAGGACAACATCTCTCACTTAACCTCTTATTTGATTACTGAGTGTCAGAAGTTCAGGGAAGCTGTTGGAGTTGAATAAAAATGCGAAACGAGCTTAAATCTTGCGCAGAGACTCGCGCACGAAAATGCTGGCCTATCTCGTTAAAGAGTGACTTTCAACGCTTGGGACATTGTCAGTGCACCTCGCCGTGTCATAAGGATCAGAACGATATATGATGTTGCAGGGTTTTGTTGAGATCCCGCGGAGACGTACGACCAGAGCCAAATGCCCCGTCGGCTCTGGCCTGTGGCCGCCCCTCGTCTGCTTCTCGCCGCCCTGCGCGCTACCTCGCCATCCCAAACGTAGGGCGCGGGGCACTTGGCTCCGGTATTGCGAACCCAATTTCGGCAAGCTATATATCATATTAAAGCTCTTGATCTCTTCTTTCACGCTGAAAACATCCCAAAACCACGTTTTTTACTTTGAACGAGAAATCCGGCAAAATTGTTTTCGAAAGTCTCTTATTTTTCCCTTAGTTTAAGTCTTTTCACGCGGTTTTTTCATGCACTCTATAGTCTTCCTTTTGTTCCACCAGTGCTTATCTCTTCGATTAATACGGAATTTTTTGTGAAAAACCGTGAAAACTGCGTTTTTCTTACTTTGTTCTGTTTCATTGCTTTCGCAGCGTTTTTTTCCAGCTTGGACGATTATTGCTCAGAATAATGAACGCAACAATTCAGACAACGTCCCAGAAAACGGGAACCACAATGCGGGGGCAAAAACTCAAAGGATGCACCAAAAACTAGGTTGGCTTTGACGAGCATTTTGACTTGGTAAGAGCAAACTCGGCGTTTTCAAAACTAATTCTTTTCTTGTTTATCTTCTCTTGATAATCGTTGCTTCTAAAACATGGTTGTCTTTTTTTTTTTGAATAAACACAAAGGAAAACTAGCTATTCTTTGTATTCCCCGTGTTGTGAATTACGTGGCCTGGAGCGAAAACCTGCAATTCCGCCAAATGATAGATCCAAACTCATTGCAGCGTTTTTACCTGCTTTTTAAGAGTTTTTTGCTTCTACTAACTGTTTTGCATCTTTTTTGCCTTCTCTGGTTTTATATAAACAACCTTCACTTTTTATGAGAGACAGATAATCAAACAAACTTCACTTTTGAGGCCCTGTCTCAAGACTATCGAAGGCATGATCTTGCGTTCGGTACCACTGAAGAGCTCGAAGTCGAGAGAGAAGATTTTCGAAACTTTGCTAAGAGCTAAAGTGCTGTAGAATCTCCTAGGCATCATCCTCAATCACATGACAAGTAGTGGATAAAGCCCAATCTCAGGAACAAGCTGGATCCCTCAAAAGGGGCTGCACGGACCACGTCCGCGATTTCCTATGTCATAAAAGCCTGCCGAGAGTAAAGCTCACCTCTCGTTCAAGCTTTCTTAGACTGCGAAGCCTTTGTTCTATAAAAATATATGCTCTGGACTGACTCAGTCGCTCTGATGGCGTTCTGGGATGGACTAGTTTGGGAAAAGATATTACATAAAATTTCAAACTTTTTGCATATAATTCAATAAATAATATTTGAAATATGGTCACGATTTGATGTCATGGTATTGCAGCCCCACAGGATCTGAGCACGAAACTCAATTTGTGCAGCAACTAGAACCTTGAGTAAACCTCAAGTCTGTTTTATACTTTATCTAGATGTGTGTATTACGTAACAACTTCAGTCAACAAGATCTAACAATAACAGACAACAAGAGTCGAACAAATGTACAGGTGAGGAGAACAAGCGGAGATGATTATGGCTTAGATAAATTTCCAGGCAGTTTCTTCAGTGACCTTTTTATATTCAACGTAGGTTTGCGAACCGTTGCCTTACGTTCCTTAGCGTGTTTCTTCTGGAATCAAATTATTACATATCATATACCCAGCAACTCAAGGCAATTATTACCCTCTCCTCCATAGCCTTGGCCTCTCTGCCGGAAGCTCCTTTTTTGGCCAGAGTGAATGTCATGGAGCGACCGCCGAACACATCTTCGTGCTTCTCGAAGTCTCCTCTTTCTTGCATAGAAGACTTCTTAGCTGCTAAACTGGAGAATTCCTAAAAGCATAAGAATTTGCACTAGTGCCTGGGAAGTGGGTTGCTCGTATGCTGTGATGGAAACCATAATTGAAGAAGAGTGTCGAAAACCCACCTCAGAGTCATTGTCTTCCTTTACATGCTCATCGAGGAATTTCCTAGTGTTCTCCGTCGAATCCAACTCATAGAAGACGAATTTTTTGGGTTTGTTTACGAGACGAGCAGTTCTGCAGAAAGCTTCTTGCGAAATGCCAAACAAATTCAACACCTTACCGTTCTGCTTCTCGTTGCAGTAATAATTCCTCATATTGTTTACGATGACGTTCTCGCTTTTCTTGCTTTAGACGTTCTTTTTCTTTCGCTAGTTTCTTCTTAGTTGACAAAGACTCTCCGTCTTCCTCGCTGCCACTATCGCTACTAGAAGATTCTGCTCCAATGTGACTTCCCTGGGCTTCGCTCATGTCTGGCAACTCAGACTGGGATATTTCTTCTTCCTAAAAGTATCAAAAAAAATTTTGAGGCAGCGTGGTACCTATCCCATCTAGTAGCAAAAACAGACTGAAATCACGTAGCATATCTGTTACCTCTTCACTTTCGTTGTGTTCTTCATCCTCCTCCCCCTCTACAAGTTTCGCGGATTTCTCCTTATGCTGAACAAAGGCGGCATTACGCTTGAATTGTTCATTTTCCTCGTTGACCTGAAAAAAATTAATCTTTTTCTGTACCACTGTACAACACATTTCTTTCTTTTTTCATTTCTTTCATTTCTTTCTTTTTCACGTTTCTTTCGCTACGTAAAAGATTACTGATCTTATATTCTTAATGGAGCAATTATTTAGCTATCGATATTATATGAGACCGAAACCACCAATGGATGAGTGGAAGGAGAGACTCTTAGCTCAAGTCTAATCTGTAAGTATACAAATCACCTCAAAATCTTCGTCGCTGAATAATTTCTTGAAGCGATCATCTTCGAGAATAGCCGAAGCGGTGATTGCCTGAAAAATGATTTTTTTTTAGAATTTACAATAACGATATCACTCACCTTTTTCTTATCGCTCTTCTTTTTCCTTCCCGAACTCTTCGCACTAACTTCCGCTGTTGCTTCCGCCTGAAGTCGAGCCGCCAGCTCTTTATTGACCTAAATTTATTGAAAGTATGTTGAAGTGAAGTGACTTTTTAGCACAAAAAAGCTGACAAACCTTTGCGTGAATGGTTTCCGCTTTTGTTCTGATAACCTTATTTTCTCGTTCTTCATCCAGAAGATCATGAATCTACAAAAAAAAACTGTTCACATAAAAGGTTTGCTTCAAACCTATCAGTACCTTTCTATCCTTATACTTCTCATAAGCAAAAGGTTGTGTGATGAGTTGTGCCTTCTCGTACAGTCTCCTGTCGATGAAATATCCATGCATGTACGCTCGTAGCACAGAGCTACCGATGAGATGAGAAAGACTAAGCGATTCAAGCTCATCTTTCGTCACAAACTTGTAGTCATCATATACTGGAAACAATATTTGCACTAATTATCTCTCCATTTGTTCAGACAGACCAGCAGCAGATTGAGTTTCTTCCAACTCCTCAGTAATAGCTTCGAGATACGAGCACCATTTTGGAGCTGGGCCGAGGGCAGGAATGAAATACTGTTGCATACGAGGAGCCTCATTGGCAAAGAAAATCAGTCCTGAAAAATACTTCTATCAATCTTAAAATGTCTCTTACTCAAAAATGTTATGAGCAATTAATTTGTGATATACAATTTAGTGGTTCTTTCTAGCTATTCATTTTCACAGATTTCGCTGTAGCAGGAAAACCTTCGAAATTAATTTTTAGATCGTCCAGTGAGTGATTCGCAGTTGATTTGTGGCGTTTTTTAAATCAAAGTTATCAGTTCAAAATGTCATCGAAGGCGAGTGCACTATAGTTTGGTGTTCAAACTTGTCTCTTGCAGCTGAGAAAACCTTTTCGCTGTTAAAAACTTCTGTTGATTGTACATTTCAGATCATCGACAAGCTACACACTCAATTTGATTTGAGCAGATATTTATCAACCTCCACGAGCGCCATCATCTAATCGGAAGCTCCTATATAAAGGTAAAACAGCGCCCGAACAGAGATTGGGAAATTGAAAGATACCGCCCTCTAGATGTGTTGCTTTAGATGCAGAGCAATCTATCAATCAAACAAACAAAGAATAAAATATCTGTATGTATGTGTCTACAGCACTCAAAAGACGTATAAATTACCGGATCCAGGATAACGGCAGAAGTCATTCAAGCCACTCTCCGTTTCAATCGCTGCAAATGGTTTTCCATTATTTTCGTTCCACATCTTGAGCACACGACTGTCCATACTCAGAGTCAAACTCTCAGTCTCCCTACAAGAATTAGCTCAGACATGAAACACATCCAGCTGATTGGAGTTACCTCACAACAAAGTCGATCTTCTTTATAGGAAGACCATTTATGTGATCCTTTACTATCAGCGGTTTGGATGAACGAATGTCATAAACAAGCACCTGCAAACATGAAGGGTTTGAATGAATCCGAATCTCTGCATAAGCTAAGCTGCCATTATAATTACAGAGGTGTATACAGGGTGTCCCAAAAAAATGTATCGATCCAAAATTTACTGAATCAACGTGCAATTACAAACACGTCGTCAAAAGCCTTCGCGTTAGCCAAAGCGTTACAGTGCGCATACCGTAGGAAGATGAGGAGTATAGTAGCGGAAAACTTCGTGATTAAATTCAGCATTCCCGAGAACCTTAGTTTAACGTTGGTTTTTTGGAATTTTTTAAAAGCAGTTCTCACCTCAGAAGCTTAAAATTAGTCGGAAATTCCTACTGTAATCATTAATTACAGTAACCAAGAGAAATCGGTGGTTCGCTCTATACTACAAATCTAAGTTGACACTCAATGATCCGCGAAAGCTTTCCATATAGAAAAGTTATCAAACAAACGTTCGATACATTCGGGACACCTTGTATAATTTGCTACAGATTTATTTACAAAAAAATTATGGACTGGATTCAGTGATTGAATACTGGCATACAAACCCAGAGGAGATTTGATTTATCACCTCAATGACCTTCAATAGCATGCGGTCAGCTCAAGTTTGCACGATTTGAAGAAGTGCTAGCTATTAAAGAATTAACCTTAAAAATATGCACAAAAAAACGCACCAACAACTTTGATTTTCGATAATTTCAAGTTGATTATATGAAACTTCTCTTTTGAATGAATTTTGTAAACTTGTTTCTTAATTCAGTTGAGAAACTTGGGAATGTTATGACGAGAGAGATTCTCCCAGAAACGGTCTGTTTGAGTGCTTGATTGTCACCAGTACTCATTCTTATCTGTATTTCAGAGTATATGCTTCCAGTGAATACGAGATTCAATGAAGAAATGAAAGGTTTTCGACACTGTTTCAAAGTTTAGAGAGCACAACAGCTGATTAAGTAGTGTGTCCTACTGTCGTGCGTACAATAAACTTTGAAAACTAGATTTCTCGTCAAGTCTTCACTATTTTCCAAATCAATTTGCTAAATCTTCGAAATTTGAAAAATACAACAATTTTATCACCTTCTACCTTTTTCTATTTTTTTTTGTTTTGCACACCTCAGTCAACGATGCAGTGGTATAATTGAGCATTGAGATAATGTCTTAACAGTTGTATGACTGCTGAATACTCTTCCCAGCTAGTAATGTTTCCGCTTGGATTCCCCTGAGTTTTGCATGTCATTCATTCTGAATTCTCACCATCTCCACGGAAATGCCTGCTCCCTATTTATTTCCAGCAAATACACGCGGAAATCTATGGTCCTTCTTTTACTGCCGCAGGAACTAATAAATCCGATATGGAGCCAATGTAACAGGCATCAAATGAGTTCACATATTTTTAGACTACAATCGACAAAATTCGGTACAGTCAACGTTACCCAAATTGAAGCGGCATGAAGTTCCGCCAACAATCAACTACTTTTGAGGTTTCAGTTCTCATACTATTGACCCTAATATATAGGGAAAAAGAGCGAAGGTACATATTCTCCGCCACCACTTGGAAGTTATGAAGGAAAGGATATTTTGTCGAAGTGGCGTTTCCATACGGTATGTATGTTGTCTTACAGAACATGGAGTGCTGATTCTAAATCTGCTTTCGGTATCTGCAAAGCCCTTCCGGGAGGGCTATGGGCATTTTTAAAGCAAAAAATTGAATACCGGCTACATTGAAACCATTTAAAACTGTAGTCTTTGAGCTCAAATGGGGTCATGTTTACTGCCAGGGCGCTTCGTGCAGTAAATATCTTCATTCTGATAAACTCATGTCAGTGATAACTCGTTTAGCGCCGGAATGACCTCAACACCTGTATTCACCTTAGCCAAAAATTCAAATTTTTACCTCAAAAAATTCTCACAACTCCCCTCCCAGAAGCGCTTAGATAATGAAAGCAGATTTGGAAACAGCATTTCTGCTCTATAAGAAAGTATAGTTTTCATATGGAAAGTCCACTACGACCAAGTATCCTTCCCTTGAAGACTAGCTTACACGAGATTACGACGCCATGCAGCGTTTATCAATGGCTTGCTCGTTATTGGAGTCGATGCTTCAGTAAAAAGAGCCGGCGTTATGACAGCTCAAACACTTGCCTTCTAAGCTCCTTACTACACTGTGATTGTAAAAAAATGGACTGCTGAAACCTTATGAACGATAGCAGTTTTTCTGCACTTTCCATATAGTACACAAACAAATGTTGATACTTGCACAAGATGAAACCGACATATAATAGTGTTGCGCCCACAGTTAGTAGCCCCTTTCACGCTTGGTATAACGCTCGCTGACAGCGCTATGAAAAACAAAACAGAAAACTGTCTGCATGTCTCACCTGACCACTACTTGTTCCAATTCCCAGTCGTAAAGCATCTCGGAAAGACAAGGCCGTTATCTCCACGCGTCTGAAACGTTTCTCTAATCAGTATAGAGACTTAATAGGATAGTTATCAGAGCAAAAAATTACTGCAAAGCGATGTAAGTCAGTCGAAACTTAACATACAGAGATGATATGAAAACCCATATAATCACAAGGGCCCTGCCAATTCAAAGCATTTACAGCAGCGCCAAAGAGCAAGTGATGGAAACTATGAAAATCTCTGCAAAACTCTGCGATATACAGCTTTCTCAAGTAGCGTTCAGCTGTTCAATATTTAGTCCTGCACACAACGCTTCACATAGAATAGCAGCACAAAAAGAATTGGCTATTTTTTGGCCTTTTATGGGTCGTGAAGTTAAAGATTTAAACTTCTTTCTTTAATGATAAAAAGGTGGGGAAAGGTTAAGCAGTTTCACTGCTACGATCTCACTATGAAATACCGAAATCTACGCGACTTTCTTGAAGTTTTCTAGCCGCTACGATGCCTTATTTGCCTTGACCTTAGTTTCTATGCTCCAAAGATTATTTTAAAAAAATCAACAGTATTTGTAGGAGCCTTACTGCCATTTCATCAAGTCATAGGATATCTCTCATTTTGGATGGAATTGAATCGGAAAGCTGTATGAGAAAATTTTTCCATCTAGAGCAACTTATATGAAATTAGATGAACTAAACAGATAAAGCAGAAAAAACAGTTTGTATGAAAAATCGGAAAAAGTGTAAAGAGAGCTTCTAAAAATTGGGATGCTTGTTACAGGAATTTAGTTCTCACAAGGAAAGGATATTTGGTCGAAGTGACGTTTCCTTATGAGATATTTATTATCTTATAGAGCATTGAACGTTGATTTTAGATCTGCTTGTGGTATCTGCAAAGCGCTTCTGGGAGGGGAGTTATGAGAATTTTTTGAGGTAGAAATTCAATGATTTGGCTAAGATAAAAATAGGTGTTGAGGTCTTTTCGGCGCTTGAAATGAGTAAAGACTGACATTTGAAGGCCTTGTTTCATAAAACGCCCTGGCAAATCATGGTCCCATTTGAATTCACGGACTAAGGTTCCGAATAATTTTATTGTAGCCGCGCTTTCAAATTTGTAAGTCAAAAAATTTCCTTAACTCCGCTCCCAGAAGTCTTTGCAGATACGGAAAGTAGGTTTGAACTCAGCTTTCCATGCTCTATAAAACAGTATACATTTCGTATGGAAACGTCACTTTGACCAAGTATCCATCCCTTGTCAGAAGAAAAAAGTAGAAACGCATTTGCAAAGCCTGCATCAATGCTGTGACAGTCCCAAGTTACATTTAATCTACCACAGACCAACAGATAGATACAGGAAAGGAGGAAGCAAGATAGAGGAGAAGAACCAGAATTCAAGAGACATATAGGGAAGAGAAGGTTCCTCCTAACCAAGAAAACTGCTACTGAAACTCCAAAAAATGCATACCCATTTTCGTTCAAAGCAGGTAGACAGTCCAAGATGCCGACTCGTGATTTGTCTCGATGATCCCATGCTTCCACCTGTCCATCAGTTGTGCCTAAAGCAAAATTTTGGCAATCAATGGTATCGACATATTTACTCCAGCAATATACACACAAAGTGAATTTACCACACACAAAAAGCTGATGAGCGTCAGCAAACTGGCAACAATTCAAGGCGGTCCCGTTCGTTTGAAGAGGTGACAGCCATTCGCCTAGTTCCAAATTCAACCGATATACTTCGCTACTGAAGTTTTCCGCTGTCAGAATATGCTAAATAAAACTCCCTACGCTCACCTCGCACCGACAAGATAAAGGTCGCTACGTTCCAACGAAAAAGCCATATCTCGGCCGTATCGAGGCATACGCATTCGAAAATATCTCCCAAACGCAGCATGCATTTCAAGAAAACGATCTTCTTCGAGTAAAACAATCTGAAGCAGTAGAAATGAGTGACGGGACAAGACTTCAAAAGAATACGCATGCATACTTTCGAGTAATCATCACTAAGTGATATCAATTTGATTACACCTGCGTCCAAACCTCGTTCGAACTTTTGCGATAAATTCTCCAGATCGTAGCATTTTAGCCAGGATTTGTAAGAGCCTAAAAAGTAGTTCAGATTCACTGCATGAAGTAGAAGTAGCAATAAATTTTCAGCCTTCTTCAAGCGCTATTTGTCGAGCAATATTAAATTTAATTCAAAACCCTGAAGAACCGACATATTCGTATTTTTGGCCCATTTATACACAATTTCCAACTACGAAAAAATAGCAAGTGTACACGACTGTCTGATATGGATAATATATAAGGTCATTCCGAAAGTAATTTCGCTTTTTTTCAAACGGACGCCACATGTGATGGAACAAAGATTTTTAAGGGATCTTGGTAGCATTCGATGAAGCATTTTATCCTCTTTCTATTGGTTATAGAATTGTCGCAAAAAAGTCAATGAGCTTTCAGAAAATTACCAAAACCTGCGACCTACGCTTTTTGAGATGGTCAAGTTTCACAATTTTTTAAATCGTTCATATCAGTCCTCAGAAGGAGTTCAAGTAAGAACTCGATAGAGCAAACCGCGCAGAATGCAGTACAACTTTTTCCTCTCTTTTATAACTCGCGATAATTTTTTAAAAGATTTTTTAACAAAGCCACGGAATTTGGCTGGCTTACGTCAGCCACAATCGCATCAAACATCAGTAATCACTCCGAATTCGAAACAGATGGTATATGACTTAATATTGATATTACAAAGCAAATGAGAGTTTACGGGTTCGAAATATCAAATTTCGAGTTTTTCGGGCACAGCTTGGAACTCACTAAAAAATGAGTTATAATGACTTCATCCCCGGAAACTAAATGAATCGGAAACAAAAAACACCCGTTAGAAAGAGGAGAAGATGCTGCATCGAATAGTACGCGAGCTGCTCTTCCTTTGATGTTCTACGAGGATTTAGCTGTCCAAGTATGGAAATCGGTAGCATCAGTTAAAATCCTGTTAAAATTGTATGACAAGCTAAGGAAAAGAGAGAAAAATTGTTTTGCATCCTGTAGGGTTTGCTCTATAGATACGTTACTTTCGCTTCTTCGGAGGGTTGATATAAAAGTTTAGAAAAATTGTGAAACTTGACCATCTCAAAAAGCATGGGTCGCAGATTTTGATTATTTTCTGAAAGCTCATTGAATGTTTTGCAATAATTTCATAACTATTAGAAAGCGAATGAAATTCTGCATCGAATGCTACCAGGATGTCTTGGAAATCTTTGTTCCATCAATCGTGGCGCCCGTTTGAAAAAAGCGAAATTACTTTCGGAATGACCTAATATATGTATCAATGGCGTACCGAGGAGGGCGGAGGGGGGTCCTCCCCCAAGAAGGGTCGCGAAATTTTTGGAAGTTTCTTACATGAGTTATAAAGATGTGCAAATGACTTGTTTATACTTGTAAATAATAAGAATAATTTTTAAATCTCAAAAATTCGATTTAGTTCTATAAAAAAAATTTTTCGGGGGCGTGGCTGACGCCAGGCCCCTCCTTCTAAAATTTCGGGGTTAGGGGCCTGCAAAAATCCTGAGAAGCACATCAAAAAATTTTTGAGTGCGTGGTTAACGCACCTTCATTAGAAAAAAATTTTGTCGCCCCTCCCCTGAACCGAAATCCTGGGTACGCCACTGATATGTATGTGCTTGAGTCGGAAGTTCGCAAGATCTTGGACGGAGTTCTGATCTTCAAGTATTTGAAACTTTGTGGAAATTTTCTGGACTTCACGTAGATTGAATCTTTTGCAGTTTCCACATGTCATCTTGTAGAGCTTGCATTGCTCCATCGAATGATACGTTCTATACAATTCCATAGCTTCTGTGCCACGGTGGCATAAGAAACGTTCGTTACTTTCGCATCAACTACTATATCAGTCGCAAACTTGTTTCAGACTGTTTTCTACACTGAAAAACCGTCTCTCAAGTTTTACCGGTTCCCAGTGATCTTGCTGATCTAACGTTAAGACCTTGTTTAACTTTATAAAACGGACACCAACCGACCTGTAGCAAAAACATATCTGCCATCACGGGAAATGTTGACAGTATGGCTGATGTCGGGCATATCAAAATCTTGTATAAGCTGAACTCGTCTTCGTACGTCTATAATGGATGATGAAAAAGTCAAAGGCGCGTTGTACGGCTAAAATGATCACACGCACCAATGCTTTTCCGTTCTGCCCTTCTCCTTGCTTCTGAGCTCATCCACTGAAATAATTTTATAAGACTATGAATTAGATGGATGACCACTTACTTCTGGGATACTTTTACCAGCACTCAAGTTGTATATTTTGACATCATTGATAGATGCGACCTGCATCTGTCTAAATTGCAGAATATAAAACAGAGGAGATATTAGCCTCGCAATCAGCGAAGAAAAGAGCAAACTTCGGGAATTTAGTAGGAACTAACGCGACTGATGAAGGAGAAATGGTTTTGTGATTGAATTCAGTACTGGTGGAAGAAAAAAGACAGTGGCAATTCTCGTTCCTCGCTTTACGAAGAACGAAAGAGCAGAAAAGCGTCAGATACTGTAACAAGAGGCTTCAAAGAGCACACAAATTGCAAATATAGGGTATTCGAAAAATCGTGACGATGGCGTGACCGCGCGCGACACGCACGCACTTCCGGCAACCGTATTTTTTGTTTTTTACCTCTACTTGGTTAGTTTTTTGCTTACGTGTGATAGCATTTGGACATTGAAAGTGACTAGGCTAAGCATTGAGATAATGCCTTTTTGTATAGGCATTTTATGCTCCTGTGGGCACAAAGATCGCAGTCAAACCCATCGCCACGATTTTATAAATGACCTATAGTTTACTACCTCTCGATATAACGCCTTCTAGAGATTGAAAAAATGAGGGCAAAGCTGTTGAATTTATTTCAGTTCAAGATTTGAATCAATAAAAACTTCGTCTTTTATGACTGCAAGACTGTAGAACTTACAGGGTTTTTCAGCACAACTTGCGAAAAACCTTCACTCTCCCTATTTCGCTCCGCCACTGGGAAAGAAATCACAATCACGAATTTGGCTAAAATTTATTCTGGGAAGCATCAAATATGCTACTCAAATACTATGCTCTTTTCTCACAAAGATTTCATACTGCGCTATTACAAGGTGGTCAGAAGGTCCCGTCGATCCAGTCAAGCTGTATATCATCGCACCGCCTGCCGAACCAATAACTTTATTATCTGCTCGGTTAATCGGAAGGATGGACATTTGAATATGATAAGTTGTTCACGCTCTAAGAAGGCGCGTATTTGCAGGATTATAAGTGATCCATATACAAGAAACCAGCACACCTACTAAAAACCTCAAAACTTTTTAAAAAGATCCGTGGAATGTGAGTTACAAAATACTCGACATGTCCGCACGTTTGAACTCCTATAATTCCTCCAGATAGACCTTAGCAAATTGGAGACATGCGTTTCAAGGCGAGCGCGACTAAGTACAGTCTGCCCCAATCGGGATCAGGCCGAACCGTCGGCTGAATTTGCGCGCTCGCAGCGCTAGGGGATTGCGCTGCATACGCGCCTGTCGCAGAGAGTGAAGAGATCTAGGAGAGAGCAGACTAGCTAGCCGCAGATGTGGCGCGAAACCCTCGCGGCGCGGACTCCCGCCATGCCGATTTTGGCCTGGTTAGGATTGGGGCAGACTGTATACACGAATTTATTACACGCAGAGACTGGCCGCGGTTGCGTCGGTCAAGATAGTTGACATGGGGAAGACAGCAGATGGTAGGAGAAGCGAAAGAGCGCTCGACCACAGAGATGCCGATAGGCCCGCAGTCTTTGCGTGCTATGAATCCCCTATACAACTTGTTCGAAATGGCCGGACCAATTTCTGACATTTTCTTGTTAGGTGGGTTTACGGCAGGAGGACCAGATAACACCCTTGGTCGCAATCAGTCTAAAAGAGTTATTTGCATGCTAGTTATGAAAAACACTCTCGTTTGCTGCAATAACGCCTTATCGTAGAGTTATTGTAATTTAGAGCGTATAGGTAGAACACCTTTTTCCTTTCAAAGCCAACTTGGACCCCAAAAATACATGAAAGATGAGCCAGCACGTCAAAAAAATTCCCCTTCCCCATTCTGCAAGTTTCAAGGACATCTACGACTTGGTTCCTACCATATTGCTACCGTTTTCGTGATCAGCATGTCGAATAGCTCCTCCTCAGTTTTAGGCAAAAACCGCGCTTTCAAAATCTCGGGGTCAAATTGGATTAGCGACTAGAAGCGACCTACCGGCGGCTGTGGGCGGCTAGGAGCGACTAGCGGCTCGAAATATTGCTTTATGGACCGCGGTGTAAAGACACTCTTTGTCAAGTATGATGGGCATTGAAAAAACTTTCTGAAAAGCATTTGTCAGCCGACTTTTTAGCACAAAGACCATTGAAATCAAGTGACCTTATCGTGGTTTCGGATTAGTTCGGAAAGATATTGCAATACTGATGATGATACGGAAGCCAGAGTTCATTGAGAGCAAGAGATGATGAGCGAGATGGTAAACTCTTAGAAAAGTACTCTGTAAAAACCAAATGAGTTTCTTTTGAAAAACAGATCCGATATGAGTGAACAATGATTAGTCATAATAGTTAAATATCATATTCTCAACAGCGACACGTATATTTTCGCAGAGTGGAGGGTGAGTACTAATAACAAAAGAAAGAATAAGGCGTAATGAAAAGCCTATCAAGGATTATAGGAAAAAAGGCATCTAACGAGAACTCCTACCAATAACCCACCCACCTTGTACTCCGTAAACATTATACGTCAGCCAGAAGAAAATCGCTTTGATCTTTTCGACATGTCGATAGAGTTTTATGATTTTATAATGTGGAACGATGTTCAGCGTGAACGCCAGAGCCAAAATGTATTTATGAAACTGCTAGGGATTTGAGAAGCAACTTGCGAAAAAACAACGCGATTTGGTGAAAGCCTTCCCTATTAGGTATCAAGAGAAGACCATGGAACTGAACAAATATCTTCGGACAAAAAGCTTCGTCCGGTAAAGGAAGGAAAATCTGATATCAGGTTGCCTTTCATCCGCTTCTCGCAAATCAATGTTTCTAATTCTAACACTAGGTCCAACAGCAAGTTTAAGATCGTGTAGTTTTATGTATGAGCTAAAGTGTGCACTGAGGAAATAGCAGCATTGATCAGAAACATTAACGAGCACTAGAGGCTTCGAAAAAGCAGATACAGTCTATAGTCGAAAACAAAAAGCAGGAGTTAACACTGGAACACATTAATGGTAAAAAATACATTCAAACAGCTGATCACTTCAAAAATCAAAACCACTCCTTCTCTGAACACGAGAAAATTGTGAAAAAGAACCAAAATCACAAATAAGCTGTTGCTAAGCTGCTCTACTGAGATGCACTTTCGCCTAAAGGACGGACTCGTACACTTTGGCTATGAGCCAGTACACTTTACATCGCTGCGTGTGGCGTGTTATGCTGGGTACATTACTGGCAAATTGCCAAAAGATGCATCCGCGGCGCATAACATTGCGTTGCGTGTTCCGATTCGGTTCTCATGTGTTCCCCAAACGAACGACTGCGTTCATCGCTGGAGCTGAACTTACGGCTACTGTTTGAAATTGCTGCAAAAGTTTCGTTTGGAAGGTGTAGGCCTGAGGTGCAAATCCTGCACTTTCTACTGAATCCAACATTCACCTAATGCGACTCTAGGATCGAGTTTGCACGTCATTTTGCCCACTTTTATTTATTTTCGCCCATGCACAATAGTCTTACCTGCGTCAGCAACATCAACTTTTGGTGCATCTACAACCTCTTTTTTTTCCTGGTTTTGACACTATGTTTTATGTTTTTTCTTTATTGTTTTCTTGTGCAGCGGCCAAGGGGCGCGTAGCAATCAGGACCTGCATTTTTGCTTTTTCAGTTTCATGTGCTGACTGTTGAAGTATCTTGGTGATTTTAATCAATGATCGATTCGAACAGCGGTGAATATGTCGAATAATACCGAAGAACCTCGAGCTGAAGACTCTCCAGCTGTCACTGCACAGCCGATTGTGCCTGTTGATCTCCTTCCTGGTGAGAATTTTTTCAGTGCAGTTCATTCACGATTTTTTTCCATACATTACCTGTTTAGCTGAACCTGAGCCTGAGGCGCCCTCAGAAGTCGAAAGAGAGGCTTCCGAAGTGGCACCGTCACAGGAAGAGTATGAACCACAACATGATAATGAAGCTCCTCCCGTCGTGGAAACTGCTTTGCCAGCTGCGGAAGTCACTTCACCTGTAAAAAGAATTGTCATCGCTGATTCTGACGATGACGTCACAGATGAGGAGGATGCTAGCGGACGGGAAGCGTTCATAGATGATCGCATCAAGGTATCTGTTACTTTTTTGTTTTACCTACTACTATCTATGCTTTTCTAGGAACACGACTATGCGTCGTTCAGTGTACCCCGTCATCTCGAAAAAGTTATCGACTCAAAAGAGACATTCCCTGAAATACCAGGACTATCAGAACGTAGGTTTTGAGATTACATTTGGGATATTAGACCTAAGCCAGCAACATCATTTTTGTTACAACATTCACTTCGTTTTCTTTACATAAGTTCGTAACTCCTTTCACTCAAACTATTCTTTTTTCTTTCCTCTTGGTTTTATAGTGCTTGAAATTGTGCTTTCTAGTCGGCTACTCTCCCGAACATCAAGGATTGACTTTGGAAACTCACGTTAATCGGATTCCTGCCTCTTCTTCGTCGCAAATGACATTTGAGAGAGAACCAAACATAATCAACAGGTGGGGGTGATTCAGTGTTATCAATGAGTTCGCATTTCTAGTAGGTAGATCATGATCCCTTTCTTTTATGCTCACTATCTTTTTCGGGTATTGCCTGACTTCGGTTAGGAAATTTTCAGCTTTTTAAAAATGTGTTTGGAAGCATGGGGGTTGTTTTTTTTTCGACATAATTGATTATTCGAATATAGTAGTTCGAATCTAGCATCTTTTTTGAATGTTTTTCTCCTTGTTAAGGTCAGCGGGGACAACTCGCGATGCAGCTGTATATCGCACGTCTGACGGTCCAGCCGGCTATCTTGCGCGCCCCATTCGTGCAAACATGCAGGCGTCGAGTGCATACCGTGGTATTCTTCAGTATATGCAAAAGTTGTGATAAAGTGCTCGAGCTTCTTTAGATCGAAATGTAGCTCATCCACAGCAGCAACATCTTTTGGTTGGGTATGGAGCAGGAGCGCCTGTGGCTCGAAGAGTCATGACAAGTTCAACTATAGCAAGCCCCTCAATCATCCAACAGAAACGCGCGCCTCCACGGATCGTATCTTCGTCAGCGGGGCACGTTCGACCTGCTGGGTTTGTCCTTCTATTTATCGCTACATACATGTTTATTCTGGGCAATAGCACAGTGCTCACGCGTGCCGTAAATGAAATCCGCACCAAACCGTTGCAGGAGTCGGCTCAGTGGTACCCCTCATTTATTGATGCAGCAACATGGACAGCGTCAGATAGCGTCTGTGACGTCAGCACCTCCCATGCAGCGGCAGGTCGATCCGCCTCCGCATCGGTCAGTTTTGCTTTGAGACGATGGCAACACGTGCATGTATTTCTGATGACAAGCTTGTTATAGTTCTTTCCACCAAGGATCTGATCCTCCTCCTCATCGGGTGCTCCTTCTACAACCCGGTGGAACTCCTCGTGTTGCCTTTTCTCCTTCTGATCCTAGTCAAGCGGCTTTAGCGAATGCGCCTGCACCGCTCATTGTACCAGGTCGTGGTACGAGACCAATCGTTCGTGGAAGAGGTATGGAGCATTTTAGTTCTGATGCACTCTAATAACTGTATCGTATCAATAAAACGGTTCGCTGTCCACCGGCCTTTATCGGATTTATCACCCATAACGCCGTTTTGTGGCAGCTGTTGTGCTTGATGTTTATCATTGAAAAACGTTATCAGTTATTAAGTCTCAATTTGAGCTAATCTTGAGGAGCTTAAGAGTAGACTTTTACATCTTTGTTTTTTGATCTTGTGCCATGCACTTTGCAAATTGCTGCTAATACAGCCGGAAGCGCGGCCGGACGTGCCAAAAAAGAAAGTACGAGTGGAGTATCTGGAGAAGAGACCTCTCCAGTACAATCGCCACAGCCATTGTCCCGCCTACCTCTCAGTAATCCTGTCATCGGAGGTCGTGCAGCTCCTCCGTCTCCAAGGAAGCAGGTGTGTATATTAAGTTTTTATAACGGGGTAAGAAGGAGGTCCTTCGTGTGAGATAAAAATAAAGGCTTTTTGCCCGGAGCTGCGAGGGCGTATGTTTGCAGTTGCACACATTTCTATGCCAGTTAGGTATGCCGTTTAGTTTAGACCGTTTTGCCGTTTAGTGTAACGGTCTGTCAGCCATTGTTCTTTTTCGTCGAATTCTGCTGGGCCAGCAGATAATCTTACACTCTTCTTTTTTTATGCTCAGATCCATGCAAAAGTTTCTGCCTTGTAAATTCAGGTCCACTTTTCCGATGGAGTGGTGGTTGGTCCCCGTCCAATCGAAGCAACCTCACCTTTCCCTGCTGCACAATCAGTACAGGCTACCTCGTTCCCTGTTCAGCCGGACATTGGTGCTACTCCACAATCCAGTGCACCGCGATCACCTCCAAAACTGACTTCCCCTCGACTGCGCTCTGCTAGTGTCTCAAATACACCTCATGCTGGAGTGGCAAATACAGCTGAAGTCACTCCTCCAATGGTACTTACCTTATTTACGTTTCCAGCAGCGTCTTCACTTATTCTCTTAGTTGAAACTTGAATCAAAGCTTCAAATGATTACTTCTGTTTTTTCAGCGAAATGTGCAAACTACCGCGGTTGAAACGCCACCATTACCTGAAAACTTTGTGGAAGATGCGGTTTCTGGCCAACACACTGCTCCCGAGACTACAACGAGTAAACAGTCCACTTCAACTTTGCCTCCAGAAGTAATGGCTGCTGCAACGTCGCTGTCGGCTCAAGTGGATGTTGCGCATCCGCAGTGGACTAACAACGACATTTCTGAAGAAGATATCAAAGCGAAAATTGAGGCCATCAGTCGCGAAATTGCTCAGGTATCATATTGCATCGATTATTGGAAGGCCACATCTTTTTATCCTATTGTAGGAGTTGGAGCAGAAGCGGATGGAGACCGAAGCTCAAGCGAAAGAGCGGAAACGAGCTGAGGCTGCTCCTCCAACGCGTCGTCGGTCAACAAACGATACTGTTTTCAGCGGAGGCGAAGAATATGAACCAGGCGCGTCTGCCTCCATTCCAAGAGGAAGAGGGAGACCCAAGGGATCGGTAAGCTTACCTGTCTTTTTCAATTGCACGGAAAACCGATGAACGGATTTGATTTCAGGGAAGGACGCGGTCATCTTTGAGTAGCAGTAGCAGTACTAGCTTTGCCGGAACAAATACACCATCACAACATGATATCTCCGACAATTCGGTCATTCCAGCGAGAGGGCCCGACTTCCAGGCTACCCGAGCTTCTGTCCGTACTGCTAATCGTGTCGGCACTGTCCCCGTTACTGTGCGTCATACAAGCATTGGTGATAACACTGCGTCTTACATTCAACCAACTTTAGGGTTACGATGGTGCGATGGCTCCAGAATTACCTCCTCCTCTGCCTCCCATCTCTGGATCACAGAATTTGCGTAGTGCTTATCAAAGCGGGACACTTTCATCACCTCCCCATCCAACATCGCCACGCATACCTATCTCATCTCCACATACGTCTTACTATCAGCAAAAAGGTAACCTCTTTATTTATCGTTCATATCTGCAATGTTATATTTAGATGCCAACGGCGTCTCACCTGACGAAGATCTCGCGAATGTGAGCACTGATCCAAGCAGTGATGAGGAAGAAGTGGCTGAGGTATTATGAACATCAATGTGCAACATTCATTAAATATCAAGATTCTTGTCTGCGTCGTTGTAACAAAACTTTGCAGGAGGCCGAATGGGGAGATTATGTTACACGATGTTTGTGCGAAATGCAGCACAATGATGAATGGATGGTGGAATGCGAGAAGTGCAAGTAGGTTTTGCATGATCACTTATCAATTTGTTTTCATTGCCAATGTCATCGATTTAGCGTTTGGCAACATATGAAGTGTATGGGACTTGATCCGAAGAAATTTGACCAGAACGAAACTTATCTCTGCGAATATTGTAAACCTCGCCCGCTTAAGTTCACCAAGAAACAGGCACAAGAGATACAGGCTAGTTTCATTTCGTTTCTACAGAAGTTGACCGTATGCTAGAAAAATCGTTTAGCTGAAGCAGTTGAAGGCGGTAGCACGTGAGAAGGAGCGCAAAATGGCAGAAAAACTGAAAAGAAGAGAAGAGCGCAAGCGAGCCAAACTCAGTCGACGCCTTAAAGAGCGAAATGTATGTATCTGTAAGAGATCTAGCGAGACATTATTCCTCAAATTCGTGACCCGGTATCTTGGCGAATGCTCATGATTATCAAGCTTTGCACATGTGCATGTGTTTTGATCCAGTAGTGTGTATAAGTGATGGGACGGTTTTTTAACAAGCTGTCATATATTTTTAGCATACAAAAGCACCGGTGAAACGAGGTCCAGCAGCCTACAAAAAATTCCAAGTCATACGTCGTAACGAATACACCAAGCGAGCGAAGCAGATGCTGGCGCTGTTTGATACAACAGCAGGTGCTCAGAGTATCTTGGAAAATTCGCGGGATTTGAGACGCGGAAAACGAATGTTTGTCGCACCGGATGTCGAAGGTACGTGTAATTGTGCATTTCTTGATCAGATCATTACATGGAAATTCTAGGTCTTGTTGCCACCGAGTTTATAAAGCAAGATGATGTGATTATGGAATATGTTGGTCACGTCTGCCTTCCTGATGAATGTCCTGGAAGATTGCAGCGCGGCGCATTGCAACCGTATTGTGTGTTGTATAATGGACTGGGGCAAAATCTGCTGTGTATCGATGCGCGACGTCAGGGAAGCGATGCAAGATTCGCTCGCAGGTATTGTTTTTTTTAAACTTAACCCTCTTTTATATCCACGATTTCTTAGGCAATCATTATGTACGCCATTCTTGCAAATGATTTTTTGCAGATGCTGCCGTTCAAACTCAACCTTAAAACATATTCTTCTCAATGGAAACATCTACGTAATGCTTGTTGCATCCGAAAAAATTGAAAAAGGAACAGAAGTGCGATTTTCTTTTTCGTCTGCACACACAAAACTGATTTTCACGCTTCAGGTCACTATTCCCTTCGACTGTGATTTCCGCGACACTGTCGTACCAGTGGATTGCGCATGTGGCGAAGATCCTAACTGTTATATGAAGCAGTTCAATAACTCCCTTCGAGCCAAAAATTCCGTTGAGGTTGGTTTGCTTGCCGCTCAACTTCCTTACACCATATGCGTGGTCGTATTTAGGAACATCCCAATCATGATGTCCAACAAGAGGAACAGCAGTCTAACGGTATGGGCAGTACTCGCAAAGTGGTTATGTCTACACCTAAAATGAAGAGTGAAAGCCGTGGTCGACCAAAGGGAAGCGGAAAGAAAGAAAAAGCGGCTGATGAAACACCAAAGAAAAAAGTACGCTAAATCTACCTTGTTTGTGTATAATGAAATTCCCTTAACTCAATCATTATTCGTACTTAGGGTGCTCCTGGCCGAAAGCCCAAGAAAGTTGGGATACGTCTTCGACGTCATTCGGAGAGCAAAAACGCTAAGTCTCCAGAATCTCCTAAAGAACAGAGTGCAGTCAGCGAAGCATCGGATGTGAAGTACTGGAGACTTTTGCATTCTCTCACTACTTACTAAGTAAGATTTTAGGGAGGAGTCAGCAGACGCACAGAAGAATGAACAGACATCAGCTACTCCTGATGTCAATGCTGATGCCAACGTATCTGTTGAGAAGAATAAAGATGCAGAAGTGAAGGAGGAGTCTGCAGCAACACCAAGAAAGCAGGATAAAAAGTCGACTGAAACCGAGAATAAAGCAGAAGCTACTTCGCCAAAGAAGGTGAGTCGTTCCTCTTCGATTTTGAGCTTTTTTTCCCCTGTTTTTTTTTGTGTTGTTCGGTTGTTGGTTGCTTCGTTAGACATTTGAGAGCAAAGGTTAACTTTGCACTTCGCATTGCATCACACGCTCTGCAAACGGCATGATACTGTGGCTAGCGATTTTTTTGCGTGGCAGTATAGCCTATGTTAGTGAATGAGAGCTTTGGTTGCACCGAGAAGCTTGACTAGTGCCTCGAGTCCAATAATTGTTAGCATTACTGTAAATTCTTTGATTTTACTTCCCCTCATCTGAAGTGTATCTACTCTACACTGATTTTGTCATTTTTTTGCGCCTATCGCTGACATTTCCAGGAGGATCAGCCAACATCTGGGAAGAAAAGAAGTAGCACGGGAACTAGACCGAAAAGAGAGGCGCTTGAACTAGGGAAAGAGGTCATGGATTACACACTCCCTGAAGACCGAAATAAGCCTGTAAGTTTTAGTCTGCTTTCATCATTTTCATTATTGCCAATACTTAGCGCTGTAAACAGTTTTCTGCTTTCCTAATGTTCTCCCAATAAGTATTGCATATAGTTCATGAAGTTTGTGATTCAACCGATCATTGTCAGCGCATAGCGTATACATACTTTGGTGGTATTGTTCATACACATCTTTGTCTCACTTTACATAATGTACTATTCTAATAACTCTCAAAGACTTAAAGAACATTAGTGGCATACCTGCAAGATGATATGTGACTTTCACTGTTTTTTGTTGGTTTTTCATTATTTATAATTGCTTGTACCCAAAAAAGGTGCCACTAGAAACTTATCCGAAGCCCGCGGCAAAAAAAAAATTTAGTTTCAATAGGCAGTCCATAGTATCCGATAACCGGATCAGGTTACGAACCAGATACCATGTGCTTTATCTTGGGCTATATATCACTGCAAACATAGAAGAAGTCGTTACGTTGCATGACTCAATATGTTAGCCAGTCACATGAACTTCAACAATTTGCATCGATCGTAGCATTTCTAGGGACTAAAGCTTTTCGTAAACACCGTTTTTGCATACGCAAGGTCATTTTTTGAAACCGAATTCTTGCATATCCTAGAGCCGCGAGGAACGTAAACTGCAGGCAGCTCTGGCAGCTTTTGAAAAGAAGGAAGAAAAAGAGAAGAGAAAGGCCGAAGCTCACAAAGAAAAGGAAGTGGCTGACGCAAAAGAGAAACGAGTACGTCCAGTTACTGTTTTTGTTGTTTCTGTGTGCGTGACAGTCTGCGTCAGCATCTCCACCTGTGTTTCACGTTATAGTCGTAAGCGTAGCTCAATTGATTTCCTTCTCACTTATTAGAGTTTAGAGTATTCAATAGATAACAGCAAACGACTAACGATCGCATATCTGTTTTACGAATGGTTTGGTGCAGATGTTTTTTTAACCAATCTTTGTACATTGTTTTCTAGGCTTCTGGTCGACAAACTCGCGGCAGCATGGGAAGTTCGGGCAAACGTGGACGGAGAGGTTCTGAAAGAAGCTTGGAGAGTTCTGCGAAGGAAAAAGAGAAGAAACCTGAGCCTGTGGTCGAGACAGTTACTCCTAGGGAAAGCCCTCGTGGAAAAAAGAAAAGTTTGTTCTCGCACTACCTTTTGAAATTCTCTTGTTCATGGTGGCTTTCAGGGGAGGAATTCAAAGAAAATGAAGTTGTCGAAGCTACCGCTATGGTGCAGCCACCACGGAAACGGTGGGCAGCTGCGGTCAAAGAAAATGGTTTGCATTTGCATTATCACATTGCATAAGGCAGAGTGAGATCAACAATTTAGAAGCTGCACAGCGAGCTTCTTCACCGGAAGTTACCTCTTCATCGTCTACTACACCAATGGCTGCTGTCGATGTAGCAGCGGCCGATTCTGTCAGTCCTAGTCCTGGCAGTGTTGGCGGGAAGAAGCTTTGGCTAAGGCGACATGCTGCCGAGTCGATCAGCGAAGAAAACTTGCAAACTGTCGAAACTGCCTCAACTCCTGAACAACCTCTCTCTTGTGCCGCAGATTCTACAAGTGATATTGCTGCTGCACCTCCTAGAGTGCAAGTAAGATGACAAGCCTTCAATATGAAAGGTTCTTATAAATTTTTAAATCTTAGATGAGCCCTCCACTGAAAAAGCGGCGGCATATGCTCGAAGCGTGCCAGTCTGACGAACATGTCGCAGCTGCAGCATTGGCTCAGATGGGCTCGAAAGGTAAGTGGTTGCGTAATTTCACACCTATTTGTCCTAACTGCTTTGAACGTTGTAGCGGAAGGATTCCGCTTCCACTGGAACATGGCCCTCCGGTCATCTGTACCATCGTGGACAGAATCATCGAATGTGGATTTTGAACTGGCTGGATCTGTTCAAAAGCCTCTGCCTCCTCCAACTTCGCGTAATAGCGTGACGACAGATACAGTGCCTGTGGAAACTACCGCAACTACATCCGCTGCATCAACGTCAACGACGGCTTCCCCTGCTGAAGTGAAAAAGGTACCGAAAGACAGCGCTTCTGCTTTTGTTAGCGTTTCTCAGATAACTATTCCAGGCAAAGCGGCTAAGTCTTGAAGACTACAAGAGGCGACGTAGCAATATGGCATCTGAAAGCGGTGTCACTCCATCAGCTGCTCCCGCCACCAATGCTGCGCCTTCTGCAGAAGTTTGGACTCGTACTTCAGAAACCACAACCACCACCACTAGAATAACTCGATCCTTCATGCCACCTATGGATGCCCCATTGGTACAAACGAAGTCGTGTTTCTAACATATTGCCAATTTTTGTGGTTTTCAGGAACAAAGTTCTGTTTTGCGGCCCATAGGCGCCGATATCCCAATACCTGCCCTTGGAGTTCCTCCTGACTTAGAAGTGGTGAAGAAGATGATTCTTGAAGAGGTTTGTTCTAACTTGATTATGTGGATATCAAGATAATCCATTTTTAGGCATGTCTCCCTCCGCCACCTGCACCTCCCCCATTGCCCACACCTACAGATCCATCAGTCACTCCATTTGCATCGACAAGTGACATGTCCGTGGCTTCCAGCTCGGAGTCGGGAGAGGAACGGATGTCATTAGCCGATCGGCTTGCAAAGGAATTTGGCGTTGGTAAGTCAGCGCATAACTCTTTTCAGTTTCGCAATATGCAGTTCGATATTGGTTATCCGTTGGGAAGTTATGTCTTCTAACTAGCTATTTCTTTTTTTTCTTGTCTTCCGCTATCGTGCGGATGTAGCATCTTCTTCATCTCAAAAAAGTTACTCATCAAAGCTTCTCATGGAGAAGTGTTTTTGCGTTAAGCTTTGCCTATTCAAATACAGATCGGATTGCTGTCCCTCCTTTTTTTCGGTCTTCTGCGAGGGAGCGCCCTGCTTGTATGTGTATATTTTCCAGGTACTGCGGGATCTTCCCGGTCTCCGAAGTCTCTCTTCTCATCAGGAGGTGGCCAGAGAGTACCGAACGCCAGAGGTTTTTAGTCTCTTCCAAATCAGTCTCTAAAGACGATTTGCTGCATAACCAAACCAGTCCTCTTCAGATGTGCCACCTCCTCCTCCGCCTGGTCCGCGCCCAACTCGAAACACTCGATGGTGATCTACCGGTGATCTCTTGCTTCTTTCTATCCAAATCTCTTGTGCTTCGGCATGGAACTGGATTTCCCTCCAAGCCATCTACCTCGCCTTCCCACTTCTCCGCGAATCCCGGTCCCTCTGTCGACTTCGCTTTGGGTGCGCGCTTCCATTCGTTTTTTTCCCATATTTACACTCAATATTGATAGCATCATATGCTGAAGTTATGTCTATTTTCCAAATATTCGTCAGATATGGTGCATACTTTTTGTGTAGTGTGCATGATTATCCATATATCTACTTTCGTTTATGTTTAGTTTAGTCCAGATTAGTTATACCACCCGTTAGATGTACATATTGCATTGATCCTCTCGAAACCAATGCTGTATAAAATCATATTGTTCTCAATTCCCACTCTCAAGTGACGTTTCCGAGTTCCTTTTTCTACATGGCAAAGTGATACTCCTATGCATTAATCATCATTGGAATATGTTTGTAGTATTGCATTTCAAATTGTCACTTTTGATAGAGAGCTCGCATTTGCCTCGTGGAACGAGGTCCCTTTCAAGCATGTACGACACTAGTTTGTTCTCCGACTACACGCATTGATATGTGTCTTAAAAACTTACAGTTGCAATGCCGACATCTAATAAAGTGAACAAATTCTACACCCGACTGTACAATGATCGAATCCCACATCAAAATGCAACCTAACACAAAATCAAGTTTGAATCACGTGTGAGATGCTGTGTCACGTGTGGAACGAGTGCTATGAAATTTTATGTAATTAGGATGACATGAAGTTTGTTCTTATGAACAGGTACGTTCTATTTTTGCGTTATGAATCAAACAGGGTAGAGGACTATATGTCGCCGAAAAGGCCTGCTTCGGGAATGCTTCGAACGATGTTTGCAGAGGTTTTTTGAGGATGTCTTTCCCAGTATTTCTACGCTGCTGTTTCATCCACATGCAATGAGTCACGTCCCCAGGAGGACAGATTCCTTCTATCGTTGGAGTGTTCCCGTCCACACTTTTTTTTGATTTGATATTTAACAAATTGATTTAAATTTCTTGATTTATGTTGTTTTACGATTAGGCTTTTTGAAAGGCTAAATCAGGGTTCGTATAGAAAAAAGGGAAACTATTAACCTAATAAAAGAATTTCTTAAGATGATGTATATATGCATGCGCTTTGGCGCAAACATAATTTGTATGCATCTTGTTTATATACATATCGCTCGATGTGAGTGATGACGTGAGAATGGTGAGCAGAAGCAGTGAAGAAGTAGGGTGGTCCAACCCCAACCGGCTACAGTTACTGTTATTAACACGTTTCGGACCGCGAAATCGCGCGCGGCGAAAAAGAGTGTACTTTCAGCCGTTAGCCTACAAAGAGACCCTATTTCCAGCCTGTGATCCACATTTGTAATCAGCATGTCAAATAAGCTCCATATCCAAAGTTCTGAGTGAATTCGAAGTGTTTGAATTTTGTCGCTTGAGAGGGACTTTTGTGCTTTCTTGAAAGATAGGAACAAGAACTCAGATCCTAATAGTATTCAAAAGTACCTATGTTGTACACGGCACACATCAGTATTGAACCTACGGTTTTTCTCTTTGGTATCGAAGCAAAGGAAAGCTGCGACGTCGCACGCGTCGTTCGCGTCGCCGCACTTCGTTGCAACTGTTGTTCGAATTGTGCTCATATCTCCTAAACAAATATCGACGGCACAACTCTATAGAGTCGTATGAAAAGTAGGAGCTTGGACCTTTAACTTAACAACTTTAGACTAAAAGGAAACCTCCTGCAAACGCCAGAAAGATCCCTCAAAGCAGCGTGCTGCACCATGTGCAGCACCGGTCCGAAACGTCCGGGCAATCTCGGATGGAGGCAGCGTCCGGGCAATCTCGGATGGAATTTCTTCCGCTTACCTGAGCATATTCCTCCCGCTGATTCTGAAAATGCGGCTTGGAGGGCATGAAAACGCCGAAAACGGGCTTTTCCAGAAGCCCTTGATTTGAATTTCGTCACCTGCCGCCAAGGTTAAGACGCAGAGTATTTGTGAGACCCTACGTCTTGACTGTGTGCGGTATGCGCGCTCTGGCTCATCGAACTAACTCGTCCCCGGCCCCCGGGCGTTCTGGTCACCACTTCTGGAAGCAAATTGGTACATTGCCAGTTGGGCAAGAGCCTTACTAGGCCGGACACCCCTGTACTCTACATTTTCGTTTTTGCCCGGACGCTGCCTTTAATATGCATTGTCACTGATTTTCCCAATCGTAATTAACGTGCTCTGATATGGGGGGGGGGGGTACATACATCTGCGTGCGCAAAAACAGTGATGCTATCCTTTTGTGATTCGTATCGCGAAGAAAGTAATGGGCATCCACTAATGGATTTTTAACCGAGGCTACTTCAAGGTATCCTAAATGCAATTATTACCAAAAATAATGCGCATCTCTGGTCTCATGGTTTAGACTAGATACAAAAGGACAAAGTCGAAGCTTAATTAGACTGCCTGTAATGAACACTGATTGAACACCTGCTCCAACGCAGGTGTTCAATCAGTGCTCATTAGAATGTAACATGTAGCAAATGCATACCTTGTACTTTTACAGTGCAACTGTTGAAATACAAAGTATGCATCTGCAAATTGCAAAGCCATGCAAATTAGGGTGCGTTTACAGGTGCCCTTAGTTCCGGATTTGTTAGCGCAGTGAGACAAGTACAGAGTATGTTCCGTCTGATATAGCGTGCTTGCTTGTGGTCTCGAGAAAATGCTTTAGATTTACGCGTGAACAAATAGTTACGCCTGTGATGCCGCACTTACGCGCGCAAATTGCCGGCATCCTGGTGTGGCTATTCGTTTACGCGCAAATTTACCGCGTTTTCTAGGCACCGCAAGCACACTATATCAAGCGGAAATTCTACTCGACTGTATTAGATCGGGTAAAATGGCGTCGTTGAATTGCAAAAACGCAAATATCGACGCATCTGCAAGAATATAAGTTACTTATGAAACGAAGAATCAATCTACTTTTCTCCACGAAGGTGGCATACGAATTCGACCCTCTACAGCTCCACAATCAGAGTGGCGTACCTAGGTTCCGTTCGGAGAGGGGAGGGGGGCGATGAAATTCTTTAAAAAGGTGCGTGGCGTCAATAAGCATTTCGAAAATTTTCACTGTAATGCTTCCCAGACATTTTGCCCTTGAATTTTCGGGAAGAAGAGGCGTGGCCACGGCCAAGTCCCCAAAATACTTTCATGATGCTGCTTTGAATTTTTGAAAAATTTTAAAAATTAGACCTTATTTACAAATATAAACAAGTCACTAGGAGATTTCCTTAACTCGTGTAACCACCTATTGAGAAATTCGCGACCCATTCTCTAGAGCGGGGGGGGGGGGCGCCACTGATCGTTACTAATCTTATCTCATATCATGATGAACTATGAGCTAAAATTCTCCTCTGAGTGTTGAAATCGTCTGAAAAGGCGATATGGATAGCCTAAGCGTCGTCAACTAAAGGAAACAAACATATCAAAACCCCCTTGACTTTTTTTTAGAAGTTATTATGATGAGTCTGGCTCCGGAGCTCGGCAGGGAACAAATAGCATAGGGCATGAAAGGACATTACAAAGAAGAGAGAGCTTCATTCGGCGCCCACAGCTTTGAGTCGATATGTCTTCCCTCTCTGACTACGCATCTTCATGAGCAATAGGCAGGATGAACATGCACTTAGTCATCCACGCGCCGTAAAAGGGGAGTAGTAGTGCGGGTAGTGAATGTTTTGCCTAAGCAAAGGAGGGATACTCTTAATAAAAACTGTTCAGACTTCTTATTGCACGTAGTGAGCAGTTTAGCTACTCAATTTGTTAGACTTTGAAGAAAAACCGATGACGAATGTTCTTGACTCGCAAAAATCTGATTGTGAGTTCGGAGTAACATACTCACCAATGAATTTGCACTAATTCACCCCTCGCTGTGCTACGAATAAAATCGCACGTGGTATCCAACAATACAGTCGTTAAGACATCAAAGATCCTTCACAACAAAGGTAAAGTTGTAAATTTGAGAACTAATGTTGCACTACCATTGATGGAGTGTATAAAAATACTCTTCTCAATTATCTTCTTTTTGGTGTAAATCATGAATTTCTTCATAGAGGGATTACAGCTGGTTAGTTGCGAGGCTACATGAGGCGTCCCGCTCTAACATTTTCATACGGACGACGCGAAAAAAAAAACGATTCCCACGACCCGCGCCTGTCGAGCGTATGGGAGGCGCGACACAGTCCATTTTGAGTACGGACGGCGCGCAGCTGGCAAGCAGGATCGGCCTCGTGCCTTCTTATTTAAACTTTTGCAGCTTTTCAGGCAGGTCCACTTGTTTACAGCTAGCATAATCAAAGAAAGGCGTTAAAAGTTTGTGCGCGATTTTTTTATACATTAGGGACGACTGTCGGACCATCTAATTAGTCTGCGTCTCGACAACATACTCCATAACTTTACAGGATGCGCAATAAACACAGTTGTCTGCGACCTGACCTTACGCTGTGGCTAGAATTCAAATCGCCTTTCTTACTAATTGAAGCTTCTAGAATGTGTTGTGGTAAGGCCTCGGGCAAAATTCACGCGATTTGGTTTTCGCACTGATAAGACTATTGTAACAATATTGCATGCAGATCTTCTTGCATTTCGGTTGTGACAGTTTTCAAACACATAATGGTGACTAACTATCACAACCGAAATACGAGAAGATTGGCATGCAATGCTTTTCTTGTAGCGGTTGAATCTCGACGATCAAACGCTACTGACACAAGGATATGATCGGTGGATGGTCTTATAGACAATCTTCAATAGCACCTTGGTATTATTCAAATTTGATGTAGGACGTGATTTTCGAAAATGCCCCATCGGTGGCGTTAAAGGATATTCGTCGACGACTGCCCCAACTAGTGCAATTACACCACCGTGGGCATGCTTTCTTGGAGCCATTCCAGCTTAATAGTAGGACAGGACAGGACAGGGAAAGGACAGGAATGCTGCAAGCTACCAAGTCCCCGCGCGCCGCAGCATACTGTCAAGCTGAAAAGGCCCAAATAAGGCATGCCCAAGGCGGTGTAATTGCACAAGTCGGGGCAGTCGTCGACGAATATCCTTTAACACAACATTGTCACATCAGCGATGCACGGAGTTACCGCACCATCGGCATTAAAGTGTATCGTCAGCAGCGCGAACTTTGCGTGTCACTCGAGCGCATTTAGCGGGCGAACGGCATTAGCGGTCCTCTCGTACACTAGATTCATGCGGCTCATAATACGGAACCAACGTCGGAGCAGGCGAAAGATGGTGGCTAATCACCGACCAATAATCGCCAACTCGGTGCCTGCTTTGAAAAGTAAGCAGAGCGAGGGGAAAGACTTCCTGCCTCCATCAAGCGTTTGCCAAGATGTGGGCTAATTTCAATCCGGACCGCCTTCTTTGCGTACTCAACAGCCCCCCAACATCAACTACGACGAGGACGAGCGTGAGGCCTTCTATTCGGACTTGGTTCTGCAGAGAAGACCATAGCTTCCAAGAGCTTCATCGGTGACAAAGATGGAGGATGAATGCTGCCTGCAGAACATCACATTGGGATTCGTGGACGACCGTAGAAGGGAAGCTCTGCCCGGGTTCATCTTGACCACGAGGACCACCCTTGGCAACTCGCAGTTTCAGAAGTCCTTCCCAACGCTCGTGGAAATTGCTTGGTGGAGCGTACCGTGGCGAGATTGACCACAACAAAAAATGTGTCGCCTGATAGACGTCGCTGTTGTTCTGAATCTCTATTATCGCTTCCTGCAAGCTCTACTTTTTCATGGAATGTAGAGAGGGCCGTTAGAGGCACCGTCCACCCAGTTTCTCGACTTCCATGTTTTGATCGTTCCGGTCCTTCTCATGTCCCTGATTCCGAATATGAAGTCGAGAATCCGCCAAACTCCAACAATCCCCGTTCCGAAGAACTCACAGGCCGTCTTTCCAGAACGGTGATTGGTTGGGCACGCACAGATAGGCGGGGATGGACGGGAGGGCGGTGCCGCCTAGAGGTCCTCGTGCATTTCGTTATTCCGGAGCGATTTGCTCGCTTGTGAAGCGACATTTTGCGCTGCGACTTGGGCATTGGCTTGATAAGGAGCCTTGATATCATATGCTGCCAAAGCTCAAGACCCCCAACTTAGGGTGGATGGTGCCTTCATGTTCAAGAAATTCGGTCCCGCTACTTCTATCAACTGGGACCTGTTTTCAGGGAATACTTTAAATGAAAAGGTATATAAATTCCATTACACAACTAAGTTTACACGATAGATGAATTTATTTGAGGTACTAGCATTACATACGAATAACAGAGAACATGCAGGCTTTATTCATACTCTTCTACCTCTTCGCCCTGAAATTAAAGACGTAGAATGTAAACGAAATTTTTGAGCTATGCTTACCTCTTCCTCTTCCTCTCGCAATTCATAATCGTATTTCTTGATGATTTTCTCGAAAATGGTAGGTGGTGGAGGGACACCAGGGAAACAAGGGAAGGCATTTCTCTGAAGTATTCATCATTTTGCCCCCAAGCATGGCTGGAATAGTGAAACAAACGTTTTCGTATACGGATCGCCTTTCTTTAAAGTTGCGGCGGTCAATTTGTCGATCATATTTGGAGAGAATTTGCACCTTAGGCTAAAATATTGAGTTATTGAATCTGAGTCCACTTTCGAAAAGCGGTGGATATTTACCGGATGGCGACCATTGAGGTCAGTGGCATCAGCCGTTGGCTTGTTGCCGGTATAGTTTCTTGCTACTTGTCGCGATCTTTCGTTCAACTCTTTCAGCTGAAAATGATTAAAAATTAGAAGTTGGAGTTCATTTAGCAGAAGTGAGTTGTTCACATCATATTCCTGGCGTTCGTGTCGTTTTTCGAGATCGTATTTGTCCGTTTCCAGTCTGCAGATGCGATGATGTAGCTCCTTGATCTTGGCCTTGAGGTCACTTTCCGCTATACTCGACGCTTCGGGAATGCTGTTGCGAATTCCAACGAGGAATTGCTGAAAATATCTTGTTTTGATTGTACATGAAAATTCTCTGAGGAGTCATCTATTCCTAGTAATCTCTATTGGGCATCACAAGCAAAATTACGACGGGATTCATATTTTTGGTAAAAGATTCCTGCGAAAGAAGCCTGAGAAGAACTTTGCGTCCATTTTTGGTTCAGAGTGCAGTGATTTCACAGTTAATTGGTGTCTCTGCGGTGCAGACAACACTTGCGCGTGAAAATGGCGATTGAGAGAACATTTTCAGATTTTTTTCCTTCATTGTCACTTTCAACCGCGCATATAGTCGGCAACGCCAGTTCTAGTTCTACATCCTACAGTCTGTGTTGGTGCATACTGTTGCAGGGGCAATCTTTACTGCGCAAATTTTCAAAATGAGTTAACAAACTTCTGTACAAAAAGGCAAATCAAACACTTCTCACTAAATCTCCCAAAACTCGTGTCATTGGTGTAATCTTTACTGCTCGAATTTTTCATTCTATCTACTCGACTATAGCTGGCGAACAATCAAAGGTCTATCTCCTTTTACCCTTTCGACACTTTTCTCATCATCAATTTGCGGACTTGGACAAAGTCAAGCTTACCCTCTTGGCCTCCTCTTGCTGATCTTTAGTCATGCCCATCTCTTGTTTTGCCTGTACGATGTTTCCAAACTTATCTCCCTCTGCCTTTGTTGGGATAACGAAATTTCTGTAAAATCAAACACTTGAAGAATAGAGATGGCGCAACTGTCTCACCTTCCTTGGCCTCCTTGACTGACGAAGCTCATCTGTTGTCTTTTGTTTTTCTCTTCCTCCTTCTTTCTCTTTTCTTCGTCTTGTCGGGCTTTCCTTTCTTCCTATAGAACATACTAACCATTTATGCTTGAACTGTATGAATATAGATGCTTACCTCCTCTTTTCTTCTGCGCTCATCTTCCAGTCTTCTCTTCTCGGCCTGCTCTTTTTCCTCTTGTTCTCTCTCAAGTTTTCTGCGCTCTTGTTTTTCTTTCAGCATACGCAATTCCTCTTCTTCGGTTTCTCGCTCTTTCTTTCTTCTCTCTTCATAACTCTCGAGTTTTGCCTTATCTTCCTCTTCATGACGTTTCTTTGCAGCCTGAAGGGGAAGGTTTACGTTTTTGGTAAGGTCCAATGAATCGAAAACATCAATTTGAGAGACATACAAGCATGGCCTGTTCCCCTTCGGTAAGTCCCTCCTCACCTTCGCCATGTTCGAAATGCTCGGAACGTCTTCTAAACAAGAATATTCGTACACATCTCCGTTTTACTCAGAGAGTCAAGTTATGATGTGGAAAACGAATGAGAACATTTCTCACACTTGTAGAATAAACTCAGAACTTAGGCTTATGTTATGCTTCCCTTATCTTTCAATTTCCACGCGCTTGGAAGAAGTTTGGGAAATTTTCGCAATGCACTATAGCTTATTTTCGGCATGATGGCGCTCGTCCTTCCCCCCCCCTCATAATGGAATATCTTAATGCATAACAAAGTGTTTATATCCAACGTTGCTTCTGAAAGGAATCGCAGCAGAAAGTTGTGAATATTTACTCGTTTCACACTTTTTCAGATGCTCTGTCAAGCCAACGTCGTACTCACACAGCCACTCGCGCACACTGTCTGTTGTAATCTCTGCAAACAAAGCCTCAGCACCAAAGAGAATTTTGTTCTGTGGATCTTTGGATATATTGTAACTACCGTATCCTACTTAGGCAAGGAGAATGCCGCAAGATCTTAACCCTGCACTCAACTCATGAAAATTGAAGCCCGATCGAGCTTATGATGATCTGCCTTATATTGAAGAGATTGAGTTGAATAGTTATCTTTTATTGTTATCTTTTATTTTCGAAACAATACAGATAAATCTTCGAACTCTTGCAAACCCAGTAGCCATATACTCTTCGCCTTTGAAGAAGCCATAGAAAACTCAATAAGAGTCTGCCTACCTCTCATGTCTTTCGACTTTCTCCTCGTGCTCTTCTTCTTCGACTTCTTCGGCTTCCTCCTCTTCTTCTTCCTCTTCAACTTCCTCTTCTTCTACCACTTCTTCCTCGTCCGAGCTGTAATATAGTTTTTTTTAGCATATTTGTAGCAGACATTGAAAAGGAAGACTTACTAGACTTCCTCCTCGTCAGACATGATGCGTCTAAATTGAAAAGAAAATTTAGAGGTAAAATAATGATCAATTTTAAACCGCAAATACGGCCCAAATGAGCATAAAGGCGAAGAAGTTGGAAATCGTGCAAGAAATTTTTTTTGTCGTGAGATCAGCGTAAAAGACAGAGCTGAGCGTTGAGAGGAGGGGGCGCATGCCAGTGTTTAAGATATTGAGATCAAGTGTTTGCACAGTGGCGACTGGAATCCGCATACTCTATCGTAGCTCTGCTTTTTACACAACCCCCACTCTTTTTCACAGAACGCACTATCTGGAATTTCGAATTCAGAAGATATTTAGTGGAAGCAAGGGTACTGTAGAGTGTACCCCCCCCCCATCCCCCGAAAATGGGTCGCGAATTCTGAAAGTCACATCTCTTACAGAAATATGCGATTAACCTTGTCCATTGTTGTAGGCAATCTCACTTTGAAACTTTCAAAAATTCGAATATTCTTTGCTTTCTTTTTTTAATTTTTGGATTGAAGGGTAGCAAAACTTAAAAGGCATCCCAAAAAATATTTTGTTAGATCCCCCCATGGAAATCTTGCTACCGCCACAGCATGAGAGACGTTTTAGGAGAATAACCGCATCACTTGAAATATGGTGCGCTGTCCAGTGGTGTCGTTATCTATTTTAAACAAAATTTAGGGTACTTCAAGATGTTATGCACCTATGCTAGACTAAAACCTTAAGGGTGGAGATATGAAGGCACTGAAGATGTGAGAAATGATCTAACAAGGAAAATGTTTTTAGCCCAGGTGGTCATACCAAATGGTTTCTAAACCGTTCTGTTGAGCAATTTGAGTTTAGAAGGTGATTCCAAATCTGTCCTTATGAAGCGCGTGCTCCCTTCAACGCGAATTGCAGGTGTGGAATACAAAATCCGGGCAGGAGCTGGATGAAATTATCTCACGAGATACGATGGAAAATATTAGTTTATCACCAAAAAACACTCATGTATGAAACAGCCTGATATTCCTCAACACCGGTCTGCTCAAGCATTTCTGAGGTGACCTTATGCCCGTAGCGTCCCCAAGTGCTGAACCTCACAATGCTCGTAAATCATCGTCCGAAGGAGCACGACGGATATGAAGAAACAAGAAATACACAAAAAAGCATGTTTATTATCCTACCTACCTTTCTCATAAATCAGTAGCCAATGGCTATAGCTTTTCGGGATACGATAGTTATGCCGTATATAAACAGTTTTCTCAATCGTTTGATTTTTTGCCTCTTATCAGGTAAAATACTCATCTATCGCTACAGTTTCATCCAGTAAGTTTATGGCACTGATTGTAAGAGATCAACGGATGAGGTATCGGTCCAAAAGTAGTAGCTTTGGCTGTGGATGTGGCTTTGGCTTCGGCTGTGCACTGCAATTACTTTGTACGTCTAAATCAACCTTGAGTCGCTGTAGTACATACTCGAGCTTCGCACAGACTCAGTTGAACCATCTCAACTTTTACGGCATCACCCTTCAATAATTAATCATCCGACGCAGTACATTACTTCATGGTCGGTCTGCTTCAGTCGCGTAATTTTCATGGAGGGAGATGTGTAATCAATTTCAAAAACTTTGCCTCACCTTTCTTTCTATGTAAATCCAATCTAATATACGTGGTTGCCGAGACGTAAAGTTTATCCGCTCCTTCGTCATAGCTGATAAAGGCAAAACTCTTCATAGTGAAGTCACTGCCATCAGATTTGTTGCAGTTTTCAATTAGTTTCCAATATAAGCTGCTCACAAAACCTTCAAAGTGAAGTGAAGCATTGCAGCTTTGTTCTATTAAACAACTATCCACTACTTCCTTACTTTGAAGAGCTAAAAGGCTTTCAACAGTGCTTTACAATAGATAGAAGATTTTACAAGTTTGCAATCGTTTCCGTTGTGTGATAAGAAAGTTCATAGAATGTCGTTAAATCGAATTCTGTGTATCAAGTTGTCAAGAATGTTCACGGAATCGATCTAATAAATTCTTGCTTCGCTGGCAAACGGCAAGCGAGAATTATATTTTTCGATAAAGGAAAGTAATCCCTACAAGATGTTACCAGGTTTGACTCGAGATTAATTCCTTATTCTAGGCTGTGTGCCAGATACATATGAGACGGTGACTCCCAGGATTTCGTTAGAGAGGGAGACAAAAAATGTTTTCGAATGAAGGCGCGTCACAAGCCACGCTCTCCAAAAATTTTTTTGGAATTCCCAGATTTTTCGTGAGCTCATAACCCGGAAATTTAGGAAGTGGGAGCGTGGCGGCAGAAAATGTTTTACAAGGCTAAGTTAGATTTTTAAGGTGCACAAGTTCTCGAGAAACAACGATTTCAACGCAAGAATGTTCCAGAGAGTTTAAGATTCCTGATTTGCAAGCCTGCGAAATATGCAAAAGGTAACAAAAAATTTTGGAGGGTGCAGCTAATGCTAACGGGCTCCCGAGAAACTTTCTAGGACCTCTGCCTCATGTAGTGTTGAATCAATGTTATGCTATTAGGTTGTCCCAAAAGTAAACCGTATTTTGAATAAACCAAACGGTTTTTTTTCCTGGCAGACTTGGGGTATTATTCGATAGAGGGAAGCAAGCTTTAAACAACGACCTTAAAAGATCCGTCTATGTCGTAATCCAGGTAAAGTTTGGAGCAAAAATCGAAGAAAATTTGTTACATGAAAACTGGATTTTTGCGAAGAATAATCGTACGGAACTCAAACTTAGTCATTATACAATAGACACATAGTAGTACTCACAAATGTCAGATATTCCTTAACTGGATTTTTTCCGAGCTTAGCGGGAAAAGAGATAGTCTAAAAATGGCAAACTCTGCCCCAGCCCCTCCCACATATGTCATTGTAAACTATTAGGTTGTCCCGAAAGTTCGTTCGCACCATTTTCAAAAAATCATAACTTCCTTCCCCCACAATAATTTTGCACAATTCAAGTTTTATTAGAAAGCTTAAAGCATGTAGTTTCCAATAGTTTCCTGATGACTTTACAGCATGTTTAGATTGCAGAGATAAAAATGAAAGAACGAGAACATCCGAAATTCGGAATTTTTGAGCAAAAATTCTAAAAATCTAGAAACTGCGAGATAAAATCCAGAAAAGCCATTATCCTAATTTTTCTTATATTTGATTACTAAATGAGTTAAGTTTGTGCTGATCGAGCTCCTCTTTCAAAAGTTATGATTTTTTGAAAAAAAATGCCGAAAAATCAATTTCTTAGGAATTGTTAGGAAAGTGATTTTTCGAAATTTTTTTCAAAAAATCATAACTTTTAGAAGAAGAGCTCAATCAGCACAAACTTAACTGAATTAGTAATCAAATATAAGAAAAATTAGGATAATGGCTTTTCTGGATTTTATCGCGCAGTTTCTAGATTTTCAGAATTTTTGCTCAAAAATTCCGAATTTCGGATGTTCTCGTTCTTTCATTTTTATTTCTGCAATCTGAACATTCTGGAAAGCCTCCAGGGTACTGTTGGAAACCGCATACTTTACGCTTTTTAATAAAATTCAAATTGCGCAAAATCGTTATGATGCAAAGAAGTTATGATTATTTGAGAATGGTGCGAACGAACTTTCGGGACAACCTAATACAAGCCTTGCTAAGTATAATCTCAACACTTTACTCCTGTAGGTGCTCTTATAATCGAGAAATACCAAGTTTTACATGAAAACTCAAAAAAGTGGCATTTTAGCATTTTGGGACCATCTTCGTCTCCCAATTTTGAGCTCCAGAAAAATCAACCAAAAACATTTTTCGGTACTACTATGTGCGTACTATATAAAGACCAAGCTGAAAGTCCGTAGGAATTTTTGGAAGGAGATCCGATTTTTAGGGTGACTGAAAAATTTTGATTTTTGGTTCCAAATTTTACCTGGATCGCGATTTAGACGGTTCTTTGGTAGTCATTTTGTAGAGCTTGCTTCACTCTATGGAATGGTGCCCCAAATCTGCCAGGAAAACATATACAGTTTAACTTATTTAGAAATACGGCTTACTTTCGGGACAACCTAATATCTCAATCTGTTTCCTCCATTCATATGCCAATTTTGGAATTTGTGACTGAATCTCAGTAATTTGCATTGTTGCTAAACGTATGAATAAAATTCTATTGAACATATACATGGGAAATGCTGGGCAAATCAAAGGCGACATCATAGGTAGGCACATTGTAGGCTCTTAAGCGTCTATACAAATATAATAGAAATTGTATCAAGCAGCAGTTTTGGAGCTTTTACTGTCTCCATTCGAAGCTGAGTTCGAAATCGAGCGCGCCGTCTGCGTTGATGACGACTTCTCAGGCAGGACATTGGTAGTGCGATGGCTGGAAAATATTTATCATACCTTACATAGAATTACAAGCGGTCAAGAAGAGGGATTGTACGTGAAAATTGCAAAGAAAGCCCCGAACCCAAAACAGAGGTGATAAAAAAAGTTCATCCAGCTTGTGGTGATGAGAAACGCGCACAGTCTGTTCCAACCGGGAGTGGTCCAAGAGCGGCAACGTCACGCCTAGCTGAGTTTTGCTACGCGGCACTTATATCGCGCGCTATTCGTGGTAGGACCATTACAATGAGTCAATCAATATTCTAGCCGGCAAAAAGTCGGAGCTTGTGCTCATGTTTTTGTCAAAACGCAAACGAGAACGCTAACTTCACATTATCGGAAGACAGTTTCCTGGTGGAACAGGCTGTACCCAACAAACTTCAACAAATTAGCGCAATGGTACTGCCAACCTCAGCTGCTAAAGGGAAAATACTGCAAAAAGAAGCCTTGAAGTCCTTTTGAAAGCATCCATTAGGTAGGTTCAGAATTGCCCACGTGCCAGCGCCGTGCTGACGCCGTGTCAGCGCCGACCTGAACGCGCGCCGCATTGGTCGGTCCTCGGCGCTTACTCGGAGCTGGCACAGGCAACCTTCGACGCACCTTAGCAAATGATAAGCAGAGTTCTAGAATTGTGGAATCGCAAAATTAGTGCTAAAATGAAAAAATGGCGGGAAAAAATTGTGCTCTCCATGGCCATTTTCCGCGTGCAAAAAAGGTTGGCGGCAACTGCACTACATCATTATCAAGATTTAGCAGACAAAAAACATGCAAAAAAAAAATTCCAAAGAATTTTTAACAGAATGACATTGACACAATGGCTTGAGTTGAACTTTTGAAAGTTGCGTGGAAAGAGCAGACAGAGGTGATGATACCGCGACATAGGGGCGAAAAGACATATGATACCGGTTTTGAGTTGTAATTCCACTCAAATTGACATAGGATCAAATCGCTTAGCGAGCCAAGAGCTGACATATCACAACATTTACTGGTGATGTTCTTCTCCAGATTTGCAGACGAACCTGTACATCACGTGTTGTGCTCCAGCTGCCAGTAACAAGAACACCACACAGAATTGGAAGATTGCAGACATTGAGAAGTTCTGAAATTCATCAGATTATATCGAAAATCACCGCCGCGGCAATATTTTTGTTTTGATGTAGTGGAAAGAGAAGAGCAAAAACCATTACAACATACTTTTCTCATAGCATCAACACGTGCAGGCCAGCTCACAGTCGCCCTTTTGAATACTTAGTGAAATTGCACTACTTTTCGAATCTACTTTGGCATGATTAATCTATCTAGCACGCGTTTTTATACCACAACTGTTTCGGTCAATTTCTCTCTTTTCACTACTCTTCTAAATTTTCTTTCAAGAACAAAACTTCCTTTTTCGAAAGCACAGTCAATACACAGACGAACAGAATTTTGAGCGAGTACCATAATCAGGATTGTTTTTATGAAGCAAGCACCACAAGCTTAAGTCTTTTAAATAAAAAATACTCATGAAGAACTACCCGGGTGTAAGAAAATTTGTCACTAGGTCCTCGAAATTTGATGGCGATCAATATCCACAAAATCAAAGCTTGAGGGCTCGCCATTCTATGAAACGGAAAAAAAGCTGGGCTCTACAAAACTCTCACTGCATGGACAAGACTAGATATAATAACCATGTTTGGTTTCAGCATCGTCGCGCATCTCTTACATATTTACCCTGAATAAAGAGAGCTGCTAATCCAATTGTGTGCGATCAAATCATTGCTAAAAAAACTTTTTTTGCTAATTTTCATAGCTGCAGTCATGAATTGCGCATAAAAAAGCAAGATTTTGCATTCTATAAACGCAAGAAAAATCCTGATCCTTCCACAAATTTTTTACTCGATTTGGATCACTACTTAATTCTTTCAAGTTGTACGATAATCAGCTCTTTTATTGGTCACGCAAAAGGCTATTTTGTTTTGTTACACTTGCAGTACTGCTTATATTGGAGTCCCACCGTATATTGTTACGAATGCTATTGCCCATTTAACAGTGAACAATTCAAGATTTGATTTTTTTATGGTTTTTGATAAAATGGGGCAGAATTTGCAAATGTAGGTTTTCAAATGCAAATATTTAATGTTTAGACGGCAGTTTTTCTCATAATCGATTGCGAATGAGCAATGATGATAGTGCCTGGCGGAACAAAGCATATAGCCTTTTTTATGATGTTGTATCTGTTTTAATTGGATAATTATGCCAGGCTGATTCTAACATATACGAGCTCATCGCACCGAAAATAATACAATATTTCAATGTTTAACTGCTCGCTCCGAATGACATTGCGTGGAATAAGTCTTACCTCCCACAAAATTATGATGACAATGAGATTGAGTGGAACCCTGAAGAGGTTGATGGTAGTTGAACGAGTTTCTTCCGGCACATATGCACCTCGTAGACAACCCATTGATGGCCAGAATATGCCAACGCAAACCTGAATGAATACATGTCTCATAAGTGCTGTAAAAATCCAAACACCTCCTTTCACAGGAGACCGTGTTCTATTCAAAACTCCTCTGGAATAAAAAGTCAACCCTCACCTCAAAAACTAGAAAAGCAATAAATACTAGTACTACACTAGTCGGAGCTATAACTGGTACTGCAAGGCAAGCAGCTGACAGTAAAAGCACGAATCTGTAAAAACAATCACTCTTGGAAAAAAATAATTTATTGATTTAGATGGTTCAGTCGCATTAAGTTCATTTCAACTTCAAAACTTAGTTTTCTTGTTTAAAAAATTCATTTCCAATTCTATGAAAACCGTGAAACTTCTACGACTAAAAAATTGTGCTACTCAATGTTACTGGAGAGGATTTCATCCAGGTACAAACCGCATAAAATTCTCCGGATGTCCCGTCTTTGTCAACAACTTGAAAAGAGAAGAACCCATCATAGCGGCAACCATGAACGAAGCAAAAATCCACCCATGGGGTATGGTTTCACCATAGGCCTAAAAAATCGTTTATAAACAAAACCCCTTAATAACGGTTTGATTTCAACCTGAGAAAGTGCTGGTGTCCATTCTAGGACAAAAGTATACATTGATCCTTCAAAAAGTGACTGTACCAATCCCAAACAAAGCACATTCACGTCTGAATTCATTGTTTTTTCAGGTTATAAGAAATAAGTTATGACGACAATGTGTCAAATTCAAAGAGTTCGACGAACTGCGTCAGTGCATGTGGTCTCACCCAGGGCCCGGCGGGGGTGGCGCTTTCACAAGCTGGATATCGTTTTTGGTCCGAAAAAGCAAAGGGGAGGTCGTATTTTGGGGTCCGGGGCGGAGCCCCGAACCCCAAAATACGACTTCCCCTTTGTTTACCGATAAACAATGCACATGTCATTCTTTATTCACATGTCATTCTTTATTCAACATTCCTTGTTGATGCTACTGTCCTATGAACTTAGATTCCAGCAATGTGAAGATTCTGTGCTCCGATCGCTAGCCTGCCCGCAGGCGGGAATTCAAATCGTAATTCTTGTAAGAGGGAAATAACAAAATAGGCTCGTTTTCAATGCACAAGTAACGATATGGCACCAAATTTGCTGTATAGTTGGAGGACCATAAGCACAAAAAAAGTATGAAGAATTATGAGAAACTTATGTGAATTTAAAAAATGGTAAGTGTTTTTCGAAATTAGGTGGCTCCCGCGCCACCTGGGAGCCACCTGGGGTGGCTCCCTGCTTCCCTTCACATAATTTCCCAGATTTCTTTACATAAATGTGGACTAGGTCGAGAGTATTACTATATGTTCAAATCCGCTTCCAAAACCATCAAGGTACCGCTTCGATACAGCCCCAAATAGGGTTCACAGCGTTATGATCGGCCTCAGAAAGCGCGCTCCAATCGCAATCGGGGCACCTTGCACGGACGACGCGGAAACTCCGAGAATTTGACTTTTTGCTTAATTAGTGATCGCTGATTGAAGCAATCTTCGCAATTTTTAAACAGATTGCTTCTTCGACGAGCCCTACAAGGGCTCAGAAGGGCCAGGGATCATATTTGGTCGTGATGTTCTATACAAAAAGTTGTTTTTGTGATTGTGTTTCTTCAGTTTTCGCATTGTGGTCGTTCTCCGCACTTTCGCTCTTTTGGGTCGTTTGTTTTCGTCGTTTTTCTTTATTCTGGTTGTTGCAGGCATGCTGTCATCAAAAGTTGAGGAAATGTTTTTGACAAGATCGAGTCGAGTAAAGTCGGTGGACCTTCATCCCACGGAAACGTGGCTATTGGCAGCTCTCTACAGTGGAAGCGTTCAGATATGGAATTACGAAAGTCAGCTGCTTCTGAAATCTTTCAAAGTAGGTTTATTTTTTGAATTTTCATGTATTTTTGTATGTTAGGCCCCGGCCAGACTTCGCTCAAGATAGCTCATCCAAGAATGAGTTCCTATCCCGCAAATAGTTAAGCGTTGCCAGGTGTTCTTGTACATATGCGTCGTGAAAAGGGGCCTTTGGTGTTTCTGAGCGGTTCTGGGCTGTTCAGTTGAAGTCTGGCTGGGGCCTTATGTTGCTTACTATGTTTCAATCCAGTATCTTGCGCATTCTTCAGATATGTGATTTGCCAGTGCGCGCTGCCAAGTTTATTTCACGAAGAAATTGGATTGTTCGGCTCAGATGACATGCATGTCAGAATTTTCGACTACAGCACGTCGCACTAAGGTCACTAATTTGCGGCTCATTCGGACTATCTCAGGTAGGTGGAATGGTGCATTTATGCAAATATGTTACATGACATCGAATTTTTGCATTCGTTTTTGTACATTTGTAATTTTTTGCTTTTTCTTTGTGTGTTTTCCTTCATTGCCTCCAGTATTTTTGTGGATCAGCGAGCCATATTTTCAATGTGTTTCTGGTCTGGACGATCCCTTACTCGACAGAGTTTACGCGATTTGATCGTCGCGATTGAATCGCGACAAGACAGCTGTTACGAGTTCATTGCATGCCAACCAGCTTGCACTTCGGGACTGTCAGGGACTTACGGGGGCCAAAAATAGGGTCAAAAGGAAAGTCGTAAGAAATTTTGACTTCAAAGGCGATATCGTTTTCAAAATCCTGAAATGCCACCTCCTGCCGGGCCCTGGTCTCACCTGTTCTTATTGTATGGAACGCTTTGATGAAAGTCTCTTTGACTGGCGCTTTTTCATCACCGTAGTTTTCCGTCCACGTTGTAAACACAAATACGGACATCACTACCAAGACAATTAGTGAAAGGTCGAATGGAGCTCTAAAAAAGGCAAATCGGTCATTTCAATAATTGAAAATGCAAGGCAAGTCAATGCCGTCTTTTATTCGAACCAAAGCAGAATAAACAAATGCTAAAAAAATTTCAAATACTTCGAGTGCAGTTTATCTCCTCTTTCTGACTATAGAAGTTCGAAATTGATTTCAAGCTTTCACGTATCGTGCACTATACTCTCGAAAATTTCGAACGTGGTCCTCTTATGCGCTGCGAATTTTTCAACTACAAGAAAACGTTCCACTTTCAACTCAAGGCAGGGCGGGGTTTCGGAATGGCATGAATAAGTCGCTTTCCCAATATCCATATCCGTAATTACACACTAGAGCCATGATAGGCTGCCTCGGAGCTCGGGCCACGCCCTTATACATTGTGTCAGAGAATCACTTCTCTAGTTGTGAAGAAATAAAATATGGACTCCGCACATCAAGCAGGTTCAGCAGTGAAAATGAAATAATAAAATTCTGCAGAGCTAACGTGTAAAGGTTGAGAGATGGGCAGAAATTAAAACATTGGGGAATATAATGTCATCTAAGGAAGGAATCGAAACAGAAACGCTCGCTAATTTCGAAAAAGAATTTCTTCGTTTTTTTTTTCTGCAAAAGAATTATTCAACAAATACCTCTTACTTACACGGAACATTGAAAAGTATTTTGAAATGTGCTTTTATTCGCATTATTAGTCTGCAAAAGGCCAAAGAGCTAGACTTACACATATCCAAATGCATTCGCAGCCGCTTGAGCAGCTAATCCAGATAGGATGGCAATTATTCCGTTGAGAAGAGCTGCATGAGAGAATACTGTAGCGAGAGCATTCTCAGAAAATCCTCGCTGAAATACTCTCAGCATTTTAGAAGAGAAAAAGAATCAGAAAACTTTTCACACCTTGTTATTTTCGTAGACGAGCCAGCTTTCAAAGGCGGAAAAGAGAATGCTGGTTGAGATGCCTCCCAAAAATCGTCCTACCATCAGGACCTCCATGGTTCCGAAGTGTTTTGTGACACATGACAACCCGTACAGGACCCCGTAGATGAGACAGTTATTGCGTCGACCACTGAAACTCGGGCATTTCAAAAATTTGCTCACGCTCGCAGCTGAGCACACAGAAACACGCACAATTTATCTGCAAACGATCCTATGACGGTGCCAAAAAGTAGACTGGAGCCGAACCCGGCGATGAAGAGGATCTCGATTTGATGCTTTGACATGCCATAGGATTCATAGAGAGCATAGACATGAGCTCCTTGTAGCCAATCGCCCGCTAAAAATGCCATTATTATTTATGAAAAAAATTGACTAGCAATAGCTAGTAAAACGCTAATTATGCTTTTTTGGAAAGATTACGGTTGGACTTCTGGAGTAATCTTCACCTAGATGAAGAAAGGACTACTACCTCCATCAGACATTTCAGAACAATACCGTATACTTGATTAGCGACTATATCTTGCCATTGAATGCGAAATATGTTCCTTTTTAAAAAAAATTTAAGTTTCATAAAACAAATTGTGCGACTTTACACATCATTAGCAGTGTGTATTTCGAATTAGCTTTTCTCAAAGATTTGACCCTTCGCAATTTCGTGATACTTTTGATCACCTATTAGTGGTACATAGTTCGGGAAATAATCGAAGTTTTTAAAAAATTTGTTGAGCTACATATAGAGGAATCACTGTGTAACAACTTCCGCATTTATGTGAGAAAATTGAGAAAATTCAGAATATAAAACCAGGGCTCTGCACGAGGTGGCTTTCTGAAAATGCAAGAAACGCAGTCCCTTATTTTCACAAATGAAATCCCCTTTGACCCTTATCCAAAATATCCGAAACGACCAAAAAAGAACGAAACGTCGACTAAAAAAATACTGCTTTGCTTTTTGTGCCAAAAACAATATTCAGCTTTTGTAAGCCACAGGGCCGACTGAATAGCACTTAATTTTTGAGGTAATGAAGCAATTTGGTGCAAGCGCCCTATCACTGATATTTTTTAAGGTTTCAAATTTCCAAATCAACGTTAATGTACATAGCTGTCGCACTCCTTGGTTTCAGGGCAATCTTTGATTTAAGACCGCAGAAAAACTTCTAACTAAAATCATTACGATAAGGAGTATTTTGAAGCAGATATGTATGATCGACTCCCAGATTCATGTGGAGGCGGATTGACTTCCCCGATTTTAAGGATAAGTCAACGAGGGAGTGCGAAATACAATGCTATAACGTGGAGGTTTAACAAGTTTATCGTGAAAATCAGGGAAGTCCGCAACCCGCCTCCACAGGAATCTGGAAATCGATGATATCTACTCCTTTCCTCAGTCTTAACACACTCCTATATTACCCCTACTTCGGTTAGGAGAGGAACACGAAAGTTAACTAAAAGACTAGCGGAAACCAGATGCACTCTAGCTATCACTAGAATATCTGGTTTTTTTTTTGTTTCCGCCTCACAGACAGAGAAAGCAAAAAAACTTCGCAGCAAAAACAACTTAATTGTATCACTGATAGCTGTATAGCTTCTTCAGCAAATTCACAATAGTCGTATTGTGTTGGACTGATTCGGAATGCCCAAAATGAGATTCGCTATGGAAATCGAACGCGAATTTCAAACAATATGAATCATCATTGACTGATGAGGGTGGGCTATTTACGAGCTTCATCGCTCCAGAAAAAGGGATATGTGTAAAACAATTCGATGCAGATATTGAAGGAAGCTTTGAATCATCGAAAGTATTTCTGAATATTAAAGCCATCGTTTCATAAATTTCATTTTTTTTTTGCATTTCGATATATCATGAAGATGAATTATGATTCCGTCCTGAATAAATTTAGTTTAGTGTTTTGAGGAGCAAAGTTACTAAAAAGTGTTTGAAGATAATCGTAAAAAAACTAGTAAACATCAGTAGATTATTTTAATGGAACGGACTTCACCACAGCTGTAGTAAAACACCCCTGCGCTCCTCAAATTTACGCTGTAAATAGCATCATAAATAATCTGACTTGGCAGGTAAAATTTTTACAAAAAAAAGTAGCGAAGAAATCGATGAGTTTCCCTCTCTTGCGAACAGAACTAAAAAAATAAGTCTTCACGTGATTTTCTACTTTCCGTCTCGTTTGCGAACAGGCTGAATTATTTTTATGAGACCGTTCCAGCACAAATGACTGATTGGTCGAACAATACACTCAAAAACTTTTCTTAAACATTTCGCCCGAGAATTGAAATAGAAATATGGCAACAAGGCAAATAATATGCAGAACATGTTCCCTTGCTAAGGTTGATTCATGCACGAAAACAAACGCTTCAGAATTATGAAAGAATAGATGCTTCAAAAACACTACATTAGCTCTTATTTACGTGCAGAGAAAGAGAGTCAAATCATAAAGCAGTAAATATCTTCAAATCAACTACTAACAACTAATTTGGCAGGCACTTTTAATAAATATTGAGATGTTTGAAATAGCAAAATTTTGAAATGTATGCGAAAAAATTGATTAATTAATTTAAAAAAATTGTTAAAACACAAAATCGGAAACGAAGGTCAAAGTATATCCATTTTTTGAGGAGTGTCAAGACACTCCTCAAAAAATGGATATATAGAAAGTTATTTTTTTGTAAGATAGGAGAAATGCCAGTCAAGTAATTTGAAAAATCTTTCAAAATATGAACAAACTGCAAATAAAGTAGATAAAGTAAAAAATATCTATAGGTCGTTTGTAAAATCGTGACGACGGATTTGATTGCAGTCTTTGCGCCCACAGAAGCAGAAGACACTCAGACAAAACGACATCACCTCAACTCTCAACTCAGTTTCTTCCAATCTCTAAATACTGTCATATTATAAGCAGAAGAGACATTCGAGCAGAGATGAAAATCGGAAAAATGCGATTGCCGGGAGGAGCGTTCGTGTCGCGCGCGTCGCGGCATCGTCACACGATTTTTCGAATGCCCTATAGCACTGACGCCTTCTCCACCTCTACCAAGAACGGAAAAAGTTCAGACCATAGCTTCTGCCACGCCCTACTTTATCAAACGTCCCCAGATTAAAGCACATGAGAATTTATGAAGCTTCAGAAGGAAATTTCGAGTGCGCCTAAGCCTTATTCAGATATGATGTGTATGTGCTGAGATACCGATAGTCTTTTCATCGAATGGTGTGATTGCACCATTTCCTGACAAAAAGAGAATCGATGACTACGAGTTCTTATTTTGTAGCATGTATTTATGTGCTTGTATGCCAAAAGTCCTGCAACCTTGAAAGCGTTGCAGGAAAACTATTAATGTTCTGGTTCTATAAGTGCCGAAGCTTTTGAAAAAGCTAATGGAAAGTGTTTTAGCGTACGAGCCCAGCAATCAAAATCGCATTTATTTACACAGGAAGAGACAATTATCGTTGAAACATTTCTTGTCATAGGGATGCATTTGTCATAAATATGTCAAATAAGAGACCATCCTTTGTTTTTACTTTTGAAGGCCCATTTTTTCAAATATTATGCACGTATAGGCTATCAGTAAACAAATATAATTCTAATGCAGTGACACGCTTATTCGCCTCCCCTCCCCCCTCCAACCGCCCTAAATTTTTGCTCCAGGTAAGCCGATGTTCCATAGTTCCACAAGATCCTGATCGCTGAAGTTCGATAAAGCTTGTTTGAAGATAAAGATCTTGCGTCAGATCTTTAGATTACATTATGCGAGACATAGGGTATTCGAGCTGCTCTAAAACTTGGTCTTTATACAATTTTGAGCTGGCTGAATGATTGTAAACCCTCGCATAATGAACTGATAGACACAGTGGGGTTTGAATAGGATAGCACGAATTGCATAGCTTATACAGACATGATTGAGCTCGAAATTATCCCAAATACTCAATTTTTACCGGAATCAGATGACTCTTACATAAATGTCCACCGGAAAATAGTTTTTGAAAAATCATTTGCATAACAAAGGGCAAAATGAATCAAGAAAACAAATCGTTCGTAATCAGTGTGTTCGCTGGAATGCTTCGTGCGGAATAGGCAGCAATAATTTTTTCTTTACAGGCAGTTTTGTCACGAAGTTCGAAAAAAGTTTAGGTAGGCTTTCAAATTTTTTTAGAAGCACAAGAGTTCATCTCTTGAGGAAAGATATGGGTGGTATGAGCAGGACTGGGCACAAGGTATCTTTTGGAAAGTGCAAGAAACGAAGTTCTTTTTGACTTTTGCTAATTTTAACGAAGTCCCTTTCGACCCTTTACCCTAAACGAAAAAAACACTCAAAGAACGAAACTTCAACTTAAAAATAACTTCGCAATTTTTTGGCTTTTCGGCCTCAAAAACGATATCCAGCTTGCTTACAAGCCAGCTGTGCCGAGCCCTGGGTAGAGATCTTGGTCAATTATCTATTTTATTTTGCGCTACAGAAGACATTGTAATAGTTATCAGTCCCTAACAAAGAGAAAACAAAACGCAAGGAAAGAATTCTTGCACCAGGTTACAAACAATTCGAGAATTGCTTGCTCTCACCATTTAAGAAAATGACTGATTTACGCTCTACACATGAGCGCAAAAGAAAGGTGCGACTGCCTCCAGAGACATTAACGACACAATTTACAACAGAATGACTCGTTTTGATCGGAAACGCGCAACACGCACGAAGAACAATAATTGCAAGGAATTGCGACAAAGCCCTTGATTGCCTTTTTGGTGGCACAATCTTCGAGCAAATCGATGCATGGTGTAAATCATTCGTTTTCGAACTAAATCTAGTTGTCTGGAGAGGCTCTATCACGAACAATGAACACAAGTCATTAACATTAGAAAGGGAGATTGATTGGCATTGAAATATAATATAAATGAAATGCATTAGGTTTATTAACACTAGGATAAGTCGTCAGTATATTAGGACGTGATAACTAGTGACAAATGTCAAAAAGGTGCTGATGTGTAAATAATCTTTTGAATCAAGCAAGCGATGCGCAATAAAGACTCGTGCCAAAAAGCACTTAATTGAAGTTCTAATTGATTTTTAAGTCCCAATTTTTTTCAAAATGGAAATCAACCATAAAATTGAAATGCTTAACAGGTAATGCCTAGGTTGCAATGGGATGATACCACCTGAAAGCGTGTTAAAAAAACTCAGAAGTATAAAACCCATTATTAGAATAATTATTTTAAAAAAATTTATAATCAACAAAAATAACTGATAGATTTACAACTTAATATTTTTGTTAAACTATTTACAGGACTTATAAGAGCAGTCTGCGGCCTATACACAAATTATTCGTTGTCAGTAACCGATAATGGCAGCATTTTACATGTTTCCCTATGGCAATTGGCTTAAAAAGTACAATAGAGAAAAAAATTGTGAGAAAAATTAGTCAAAACAAATATTACATCACAAAGAAATTGATAGTTTCCATTTTCAATTGCTGCTATTCTCCGAGTGCGAAGAAATTTCTCACAGAAATCCTGTACCTACCGTTATGTCAGTAGTTTTTACTGGATTTCTCTTTTTTTCAGAAAAACGGCAGCAAAAGTACATTATAATCATTGCAAAGTATGGTGCGTCTCCCAGAATTGTTCCCATACGAACCATCAACGTGGCTGCCTTTCGATCATTTTAACATGTCAACTCCAAATAAGCGCTATAAATTTGCTGGAGTCAACGTGTTAATGGGATCGAAAAGCAGCCACGTTGATGGTTCATATGGAAACAGTTTTGAGGGATGCACGATACTTTCAAACAGTCATTTCTGACAAATCCCCAAGTCACTTGTGATTCTTGAGCCTGCGCACTATGCGAGGAAAACGACGAGATCCTTTACTAGTAACTCCTCAGTAAAACTTTTCCTGGCTTAAAAAACTATAGAAATGTGTATGACTACTAGTTCATACCTAATTGTCAAAAGAGAAAAGGAAACAAGAAGAAATTACCAAAAATGAGGTGGTTCTATCCTTACAAGTCGTCAAGTAGCGCACATGATGTGCAATACGCATAATGAGTAACAAATGACTCGACCATATTCAGTACAGCTGTTCAAGTTCTAGTCACTCACCAACGGCCAGTAAGTACACAGTGAGATAGGTGAGCTGGAATTTCTTGAAGTTCGGGTCGGCGATGGCCTCGACGGCGGTCCGTGTGTAGCAGTAAAGTACAGCACAAGCTACGGCAAGTGCACAAAAGGCGACGACGAAGAACATGCGCGACGAGGCTGCGAGCGACCGACCGACGGCCCGCTATGGCGCGGCGATCGCGTTCGCACGGATCACGCTCCGCCCAGCCGTTTGCCACGTACGCGAGCATCGCGCAGCGCATTGTGCATACCGGGGTTAGAATAACGAAGCAGCATTGATGGCCACACGTGGCGAAAGGCAATGATCGCTCCACGTCATGAACCCCCCCCCCCCTACCTGGCTACGTGGGTCGCACCAGCAAGCGCCACTTCTTTTGCACGCTTATCTCCTCATTCTTATCTTTCCCAAAAGATCTTTAGGTGTCTGTGTAGTTATCTCCAATATGGCGGTTTCTGGGACCAGCTGACGAGCTTTCCAGGGGACTACTGTAAAAAAAACAATTAAACCCCCGCTTAACTTAATAGCATTTTTATCTCAGTGTCTCTTATAGTTCTTATGTTTCACACTTTCGCGCTGCAGGTAGAGGTCATCATATCGTTTCCTTCAATGAAAATGAAGAGTATGTCGCATATACCTGTTTACACTTGTTTGAACGTGATTCCTGGCATCCCCAGTTCGAACATGTCCAGATAGACATACTCTAACATGTCTCGCACCGTCTCGCACCGCAGGATTACAGAGGCATAACTATGTGAAGTTCTTCTTTACAACGAATAGTCAATGAATAGCAAATCTGTTCTGTAGAAAAGTACAAGAACAATGGGAAGTTATGGGAGAGTAACTCAAAACCCTTGGGGACTTTTATCTTGAATTCAAGTAGCACGGCACCGAGAACTGCTTGAGATGTCACTGAAAAAAGACGTCATCATACTGGCATTTCTCCAGAAATTTCTCTAACAGTACTGTCTTCTTTGACCCAAGCAAAAAAATTCTTATTTACGACTATTACGAGGTCATAATAGTCGTAAATAGTCGAATAATAATAAAATATAATAATACATAATAGTCGATGAACATGTCTCTTGCGTTGCTACGGCTCACGAAAACAGCCGTTTTTAAGCTTTCGCTGTTTTTTCGCTTATTTTAGTTAGATTAGATTAATTTTCGAATTTTACTTATGAATCAATTTTCTTCCAATGCATTGAGCTAGTCGTAACTCCTGAGCGGCAAAGGGACTTAGATTCCAAAATTTCTAAGCACTAACGCTGAGGCTCGCTTTTATGATATGTTTTTAATATGAAAATCAGTGCTACACTTCCAGCAAATCCGCACAATGCACACGGGAAAAAGGAACGATCAAGTTAGATATGATTTGCTAATTTGTAGCCTGGATAATTATTTCGTTTTCACCGATAAGTGTCCATCTGAGAGAATGCGAACATATGTAAAAAATATCAGGCTATCCGGAAAATAATGTCGCATGGCATCCTACCGCGACAGAATGACCACAGAAAACATCAAATGGGGTATCATTCGATAGAGCAAAGCAAGCTCTACAAGATAGTTCACAAATCTCCGCGAAGATCTTGCTCCACCTGAACTTCGAATCCAAAATATAAAAAATTTCAGACGCCCGAAAAATCATATCTCCGTTCACAGACGTCTTAGGGATCTCTAATTTGCACAGGCATGTACTTTTCACACTAGACATTCACCTGTATAGTTTGTGGTATTTTTCATGGCTACAGTACGAGAAATAAAAAGAGGTCAAAAGTTCGAACATGTCGCGTTTTTCGGGTTTTTTGCAAACAATTCAATTTTTCTCGAAAACTAGCGCTTGTTTAAAGCTGAAAATTCACGGTTATACTCCTAAAGGTTTATGCTACAGAATCACCCATGTGAGAGAAGCTCAGGATTGCTTTGGCAGAAATATGCCGAATTTGATTTTCTCAATTTTCAGCCGTAGAAAAACCGCGAAAATGCGCATACGAGTGTCTCGTATAGTGGGTCCATGCGTGAGCAAGTTAGGGGTTCTCAGGACTTCTCTGAACGGAGATACGGTTTTTTTTCGTTTTTTTAGATCTTGAGTGCCTTGTGAAATTTGGCTTTGAACCTCACGCAAATCAAACCTGGCGCGAAGGTTCGAGCCATTTTGTAGAGCTTGCTCTGATCTGTCGGTTGATACCCCACTCACTTATTTCGTGCGCACCCTACTGCGGTATTGCATATTAAAACAAAAAGCGACATTATTTTCCGGACAACCAATAGAAGCAACTCGAACATTTCTTGCACCGGCTGGTACTTACGATACTCGTTAGATTTGGCACACATAAATTGATATTTTTTCTTGATAATAATGAATATTTTCTTCAACAAACTTTAAGCCGAGCTTGGTCTCCAGGGAAAGAGTCTTCAGCTAATGATTCTTGCAGCCGCTACTTCCCAGAAATCCATACTTTTTTGAGCAATTTTAGCAAAACAGTATGCTTTACCTCACAAGCAGCGCGGGAGGAAGTACCAGGATGCAAAACCGCTTTGTGAACGAATTTAAGAGGATAAAACAGTAAACCTCATTCACAACGATACTGTTCGCTGCATAAACCTGCCGGGATGGGTAAACTTCCAAACAACATTATTCTACGCATTAGTCGTAGCCACTAGAATAGAAATATGCAAAATAGACCTGGTTAGAAAAGTCGGCTGAATGAATGTCGATAACTACTGGTTGTCAAGAAATCTATTCCGATTTTGATTAAAAATGTTTTAATTTTTTTTTAGAACCAACGTTTTTGAACAGATCAAATTTTTCTGGATTGAACGAGCTAATGGCTATCACAATCACAGTATGGTATTTGAAGAAGGCAAGTAAGAAAGAAGAGAAAATTTGTAGAATACTTCAAGGTTTCCTTCAAAACTGTCTACTTTGACATACTAATGCAATAAGGATAAAAGGACAATAATACTTAATACTCCCAATAGGGATAGGCGGACACACTTGGTTGCTTCACTAAGTAACCTTTACTCCAGGGATTTATGTTTAGAAAAAAGTCAGTATATCTTTGCTGCATAGAAACTTTCTGAGAAAGTCAGAAAAAAAAAACATTAGGTGAGCCCTTCTCCGCGCGCAAGTATACCGACTCTGTGATAAACATAAGATTTTTTTGTTGCTGTCGCGAACGAAAAAAGCTAATTGATTGATGCTCCCTGCTTGTTTCCCGTATACCCTAACATATGCAGTGCTGAATACATCACTTGTCGCTATATCAGATTGTTGTCGCTTGTAAAATAAGCGAGGGACCGTTCAATTTTCAAAGACGAATTTGAGAAGTATGACATTTTCTATGCGAAAGCAAAAGTGTGCGTTATTACTCATCACAGCCTTAACCAATATAAAATATCATATAATTAGTTTCACGAGCACTGTGGGAGCTCTTCTTTATGGAAACTTTTTCGCATGACGGCACTTAGGCAACTTGGCTTCGGGGCCTGAAATCACATTACTGGGAAGTTGACTCATCATACAGTAAACATTAAAAAGAGCGAGGAAAGTGCTTCTATTTATATGACGTTCATTATACTGCAGTAAGTGCAAAGCTAGAAGACAATAGCTGCTTGAAACAACGACCAAAAAACGGACAGAACTTTCGGAACAAAGTAATGTACATTTGATGAGCTCTGAAGTACACCTTTGTTCTATGTCGAATAAATCACAATGAACGCTGAAAATCAATAGGTTACAAATTGGAAATTTTAGTGGAGCAAATCTTCCTCACTAGAAATAAAACAGATATCATCGAGAACTTAGCGCTCCAAGTGAAAACTCTGCAGCCCCTCCTCTCTCGGAGTTTATAAAAACCGTATATGAAATTACGGCCACCCCGTTTCTCTCATTGCTTTCCTGTAAACGTACGTTTTTGCGGCTATTGGAACAAACGTAAGATAAAAAAGATAAAAAATATTGATTTACATGGGATGCACGACATTCACAGGAAAAGCTTCTCTCGTTAGTAAAGACCATTGAGAATACTATAATTCCTTGTCAAATATAATATGTACGCTTAGAGTAATAGCTAGGTTAACTTATGTGAACATAAAGCCGTAATTTGACCCTTATAGTATGTGTGCTATTAGAAAGTTCCCACCACTCTCAAACTGTCAGGTTCTCACCTACTGCAACAAAAGATCGTAAATACCCATTAACACAAGAAATCGACAGACATTTTATTGCTCGGAAACACAACAACATTATTATCAACGACGCCTAGTCAACTACTTTCGGATACACACACCCAACCGAATCATATATCAATTATTACACATCCATTCTTCTTCTTCTTCTGGCAACTAAAGAGAACTCGCCCATTCTTCACTGACAGTTCGAGCAATCACAACACCGGCGACAAATCCAATCAGACCCTTGAAGACAGACCTGCAAATGGATACAATGTTAGACAGCACAGCAGGTTCTCTTTGACTGTACTCCAAAGCACATACATCACGTTCAATGACACTTCGACACCAAAAATTTAGGTGCATAAACACTGAGAAATGTGTTCTGTCAATTGCAATCAAGGAAGGGGTGGTTAAGAGGGGATAACAGGCTAGCGAAATGATTCAAATTCAATGACTAATCAGTTTGTATGATAGAAGAGAGGAAAATTATGAAAAGTACTAAATGACTTCTAGATAAAAAGATTCTGTTGCAAACTGTTGTTATACTGGTTTCATCTCGAATTTTGCGATCAAACAGACATCTCTTTACAGCCGCGGCAAAACATATCAGTAAAAAAATAACAGAAGTTGATAAAATCAAAAGGCGCACAGACAAGCAATAGAAATTGCAACAGAAATTTTACCATCGCTTTAATTGTAACCGCAATGGCAGATTGCAAAAACAAACAAAGGTTGATGGTTGCCAGAATCTGGTGATCAAAACAAGAGATCAAAGGCAGCCTCAGATCTCCATCTCGATAATTTAAAGGCAGCGTCCAGGCAGATCTGGACCTATGGGGCTTTTACGTGTAAAGTACTTTTGGGGCCCTAACTAAGGCACTGCCCAAGCGGCAGCGCAGGTAGTGCTCTAACGGCTGAGATATTCCCCTTGAAACTGAACCCCGCGATCGTATCTCGCATGGATTCATGGCGCAAAGCGTGGATGCTGGCGCGATAATGCCATCCATGCGAATACGATCGTCGGGTCCAGTTTCGAGGGGAATATCTCAGCCATTAGAGCACTACCTGAGCTGCCGGTTGGGCAGTGGCTTAGTTGGGGCCCCAAAATTACTACCCACGTGAGATCCCCATGTGTCCAGACTTGCCTGGACGCTGCCTTTAAGAGCTGGGTCCTCTTCCTAATGCTGTACCAATACGGGCTTCAAACTAAGTGAGGTAGACAAACTAACGACATTTCAAACAAAAGCTCGGACGAGAGTTTAGTTAAAAGGAAGGACAACTTCCTCAAGAAAACTTTAGCTTCTGTGATCCTAGAATGAACGGTACGGAAATGCGCAACGTATCATCACGATACCGTGCAGATTGGGTACTGAGGAAAGCTTGAGTGATCCAATGGGAATTAGTCAGTAGGCTGATACGAGTTATAGAACTGTGCTAGAATACAGATTATATGCAAAAAATTCTCAGGTGGAGAGGGTGCCTGCCGCTACGCCCCTTTTTTGAAACTTTAGGGGTAGAGACCTGCTACAATTGGAAAACAAACTAGATGTTTTAAAAGAGTGGCTAATGCCACGTATATTCGTACGAAAAAATAGGTTTTGTCCCCCCCCCCTCCCCAACTCGAAAGAAAAGTTCGGACCGCCATTGTTGAAAAGTATATTGTAAGAACAGTTGCGTCGTATACGATAAGATCATGCTAATTCACTCATAGGTGACGCTCTGATACAGGAAAAGCGGGTTGACGATCACAAATTTGTGGGATCGAGGCAAAATTTCGTTTAAGTCTCAAGGAGTTCCGTGAATTTGATTCATTATTGCTGAACGCAAGCATGTTTACCGAAAAGTTCCATCCAAACTATGGATCGAGTGAATCATAATTATGACATTTTGGCAAATACATGACTATCATGTCCTTGTGGAGGGTCGAACTAGGGAGTCTAGTCGAAACAAATGGATTAAAAGGACAGCGAACGTGCAAAACTTTTACACAGAACATGTTGGCTCGTCAACAAGTTGCAATGCTGCATTCTCGAGGGGGCGGGTAGCAAAACAATATTGTCGCTTGAAAAGGGGTTTGGCATTAGCCACACCCGCCAAGAAACCTCTGAGGTGTTTCCAAACATTTCAAGCCTATAACCCTGAAATTTTCGAAAAAAAAAGGTGTGGCGGCACCACGTCCCCGATAGGTAGTTTTATTTACAAGGCCAGTTTGAATTTTTCGGAAAAAACCTTGGTTGTAATTATTCGCAAGCAAAAAGTCACTTGCACAATTTTATAATTCATATAGGTATAATTCAGCAATTCCGCGACAAATTCACGGGAGGAGGGGGGGGGGGAATCACCTACGTGATACGGGAAAACAACAGCACTGCAGTTATGGAGGCTTAGCTTTTACTAGACTTTGGACAATTCTTGCTTCATTCATCCAGTTGGACTTTGTGCAGGAATCATGGTGTTGACATTTGAAAATGAACCACGCTAACTCTCCCTCCATGACGAGAGCCAGGTAAAGCCTGCGCACTATTAACATTCCCAGTTTTCATCAAGCAACCTGAATGTCTTCCGCACAGTTTCTGAGGCGAGCTATATCAGTATGGCAGCGGCGGCGGTACCCAGGGTTTCCGTTCGGGGAAGGGGGGGGGGGACAAAAACTAGCCACGCACCCAGAAGTTTTTTGGACTAAAATTTTAGAAAAAGGAGGCGTGGTGTCCGCCTTACCCCCGAAAAACCTTTTAATAAAGCCCTAAAATTTCATCAGGAATATGTATGTTTCTCGGCAGGCCTAACAAGGAGAATAAGCACTTCAGGACACGGACTTCCCTTCCGAAATGAGTAATAGAGATAAAAGGCAACAAAGGTGATCCAAATTCGTTGTGTTTGACCTGTGGGCATTCCGATTGTGTTGATATATTTCGCGCATAATCCCTCTAGCGCCAGTATAAAACGGTCAGCCTGACATTTAACAGCGTCGAGCGATCTCCTTATACTAACAAAGAGTTTACTTCATAGGAATATGCGTTTTCAAGGAAGGCGAAATGTTACTGCGGAGATCCTCTTGTAAATAACAAGCATGCAAAATTCAGCGATGATGAAATAAAAACGGCAGATAACAACTGGGCAAATCCGAAGAATTTCTTGGGATTTTCCAAAATGTTTGCGGCCTGTAACTCCTTCATTACGAGAAAAGGCGGCATAGCTGCAACTACGTCTTCAAAAGAAAACTTGGCATTCAAATATCGCACTATAATCGCACCCCAGCCTGGAAAAGTCACGCATTTGATGCATTAGACATTCCTCTAATATGCATAAAAACTTCAATCCTCCCCCCCCCCCCAAATAATTACTGTTTGAAAAAGCTACGTTTCAACTTAATACTTTCCTTTCGGCTTTTTTTGAGGCAGCTGGGATGGGGGAACGGTCAGGAGTCACGGTCGGCGCGGATTTTTCGCGAAGCGATGCCGCAAGCGATGGCAGCGAAACAGAAGCCAGCACTCCTGGCGCAGTCTTACTTATGGCACGAGCCATGTATCTGCCCCCACCCCACCCCCCTAGACTGGCGCCGTGCCACTTTAGCACCGAGCAGTTTCATGGGGTAGGGTTCCTTCATACTACGCCGCGCACGCCGCGTACGCCATCTACGCCGCGCACGCCGCGTACGCCACCTACGCCGCGCAAGCAGCGTACGTGGCGTACGCGGCGTGCGCGGCGTAGGTGGCGTACGTGGCGTACGCGGCGTAGTATGAAGGAACCCGTACAAAACTTAGACGCGACGTGCGCGGCGAAGCGACGCGGCGCGCGGCGTGACTCCTGACATGGAGCCGCTGGGATGTAGCTTTCGAAACTCGCGTAAAACCGGGTGTAGCACAAACCTGCTTCATATTTCGATTCTGTAAGAGCATAGACAAAGAACCTATCGTGAGACGCAAATTTTCCGGGTCATGATCTACAATAGAGATTTAAAGTGATGCCAAAGAAAGCGAGCCGATCAACTAGACATTCAAAACCACCACCCAAAGTCCACCTGATGCTGAGAAATGCACTGCGAATTAATGGATTTAAAATGGAATTGTAGGTAGCAAGAATATTCTGGGTATTCAAATGCGGAAGATGGTTTACTGAACAGAAGAAACAACCGTGAAGACACTATTTGGGCAAATGGTGGTTGTAAGAATTTTATATCATAAAAAGGAGCAGCAATACAGAGGCAAAGCATGAAAGCTGGAATGATACAGAACGGCACAATGTTCATTCGGTTTTAGCGCAACGATGAGATCATGAGGACAGGCACTTGGACTAACAATTCCCTCTTATAATTTCTTCAAAACAACGACTTAAAACAGAGGTGAAGCTATGAGTGTTTAGCTAAGGCTTTGGCCATACTTCCTCCGTGTTACCAATGTTACTCGTGTTACTAGTGCTGCCCGTGTTACTAGTGTTACTCGTGTTACTGGTGTTACTAGTGTTACCGCTATCATTGGTGTTGAATAGTGAAATGATTAAAATACAGTTCCATTTTAAAACGCAATATCACTGACTAGTGAATAACACTAGTAACACCGGTAACACGGGTAAAGTATGGCCAAAGCCTAAGCCACAGCGACGCAATTCGTATCCGTTGCGAAAAAATTCACTTATGTGGATCAACTCACCAATGAAATGGATTGTTGTAGATGGAATTCACTATGGCAAATCGTGTATTAAGTGGGAGTGGACCGGCTGGGGCTTGCTGTACACGAAACATAATCTAAAAACAGCTGCATAGCTCAATGAAGAAAAGAAAGACGAAACATGATGTGTGAAAAGGAGGTTGCTTTTACGGTTGAACGATGAATAGCTCAAAATGGCTAAGGTGTAAAATCCTCAAGATGCGTGATAATCAAGGATAGGTAACAAAGGCAAAGAAAAGGAAACAGCTCAGCCGAAAATAATCTGTGTATAATATCACTGATTACACTACAAGAGAAACGCAGAATATCGAGCAGAAGTTTCTTGAGACGCTTCTATCAGGAATAAAGATCCCTGTGTATCCATTAGAGATTTGAATACAGCAGCAAGACAATTTATCACTCGTTGTTCGCCTGATCATGATGCAAAAACCAAAATTGTACGATTTGACAAGCACGCGTTAATTATAAGGCGCGTTGTGCATTCTTGCTAATCCGACGCAATGCTGCACACCTCACGGTCCCGTCATTTCAAACATTTTTGTTTCCGTGTGCAATTCTCGTCCTTTTTGAAGTTTTGTATGCGTTTGGCCTTGTTTACTTCTTCGGTTTGTAACTTCATTCTATGTACGCAGAAATATTTCCTTATTTGTCAGACTTTTCAGTCAAGTTGGACAAATGTCGGGTGTTGCTGGTGGAGGAACTAAGAAAAGTAGCAGTAGATCAGTAGCGACAAAGACTCTTATCATACAGGAGTACAAACGGCGGTTACGCGACAACATACGATCTCTCAATGATAATTTCATCAACATCCTCAATGCTACAAAGGTTAGCCTGTTCCCTGTGTTGCCTGCTGGTTCAGTCTTCATGTAATGCTTGATGACTTTTCAGATCAACACAGATGACGCGGCTCATAAAAATAGTTCCGGAAAGATGACAGAGTACTACACGATAAAGAACGAAATGGCTGCACGAGCTGCTCTAATCGTACGTATTTTTACTGCTGCATACTTCACAAATCATTCACAAACATGTTTGTGAATGTGGTTGTGCATCACAAGAAGCGGCCTTTTGTAAATAAACCTGTGAAGGAATTTTGCTCGGTTCGAAACAGGAGCTGTACCTCTTTTTATAGACAACTTTTCAAGGTCTGACTCTGTGCTCCTCTGTTTCTTGTGCCTTTGATATATAGGCAAATATCCGCATACTAGTGGCGTACCGAGGGGGGAGAGGCGGGGGGGGGCGCCCCCCCCCTCTCCGAGAACGGTCGCGAAATCTTTGAATGTTACTTACATGGGTTATAAAATTGTGCAAATGACTTGTCTGCACTTGTAAATAATTAAAATAATTTTTAAAATTTTTAAAAAATTCATTTAAGCCTTGTAAAAAATTTTTTTTCGGGGGTGTGGCTAAAGCCACGCCCCCTTTTTCTGAAATTTCTGGTTTCTGAGCCCGCGAAAATTTTGGAAAGCATACCAAAAAATTTTCGGAGTGCGTGGTTGAGCCACGCCACGCACCTTTATCGGAAAAAATTTTTTGTCGCCCCCCCCCCCCCCGAACCGAAATCCTGGGTACGCCACTGCCGCATACTGTTCCGAACTGCAGAGAGATACTACGAGCGATTGAGAAATATATGTTAATAGAGACCCCTGTTGCAAAATCTATAGACTGAGCGCCAAGAAAAGCACATTAAAGAGGACTAAGTGATGATTCAGAATCTGTTGAAGGGATCCTGCTTACAAAATCTGCGCTAATTTGTGTGCGTTTGTGCGATGTAAACGCAAGCTGTCATGAAATGAGTAAGCTTCATCTAACAAGAGAAGGATACGTGATCGCAGTGACGATTGGGTAAGTGGTGTATACCGCGTTAACCGTCCTCAGACGGTGATCTCTAAACCACATTCCATATCTGCTATGACGTCATTCTGGAGGAGTGATAAAGGATTTTTGCAGTGGATAGTGGCTTGGACGTCGTGGGTTCAGTTCCTCTGGGATGCTACCGTTTTGCATTTTTGTGAATTTTAGCGGGCAAGTTGCAAAACCTGTCGACATCAAAAAAAGTTGATTTTCACAATATGAAGCAAAATATTTACATTTATTGGCACTGAACCACCGTCTAACCTAAAAACACTCGTTTTTAGCCTTTTCCAATCAAAAGGCCTTCATGAACACATATGATATGAAAGCCCTATGAAAGCTCCTCACTATGCTAAGCACGAATTCGGAATTTTTCAGTGCAAAATTGAGTGAAGTATTTAATGAAAAAGGCTAAAAACGAGTGTTTTTAGCCTTTTTCATTAAATACTGGTGGTTCAGTGCCAATAAATGTATCATCGGTCCCCAGATTCGTGTGGAGGTGGAGTCTTGCCAACTCACCGCGTGGCGGTTTTTGCTAGAGAGATTACGAAAAGCAATGCTGTGACGTGGAGGTTTAGCAAGTTTACATGTGTTATCAGGCAAAGTCTGCAATACACCTCCACACGAATCTAGGAGCCGATCATAAACATATTGCTTCATATCGTGGAAATCAACTTTTTTTAAAATTTCGACAGGTTTTGCAACTTGCCTGCTAAAATTTACAAAAATGCAAAACGGCTGGCATCCCAAGGGAGTCAAACCCAGGACGTGCAGCTCCGCAGTCCAAGCCACTATCCACTGCACCAAAAATCTTTTATAATTCCTCCTGACGTCATAGCAGATATGGAATGCGGGTTAGAGATCATTGTCTGGGACGGTATACGCGGTATACACCGCTTACCCAATCGTCACTGCGATCAAGTATCCTTCCTTGTAAGAACCCTCTTACTTATGCGGGTTTCATAGTCTTCTTTTGGAGAAAATGTGTAGAAAACTTTGCTGTTATGCTATTCTGAATGATTTTAGGTGAGAGCGTGTGATGAATTGCTGAAGTTGACCAATGACTTGAAGGAATTTCTCATTTTGCACGACTTCAACTTCTTGACGCACGCTATAAAATCGTGAGTTCTTGCTGTTTCAGCTGTTTGTACTATATCGTTCTTACTTTCCAATTTGTTTTGAAAACTGCATTTGAACTCGGTTCATCTTTTCTGTGAGCATGTTGGTTCACTAAACAGACTAGAAGTGAGCGAATGTTGCACTTTTTGAGCTATTTTTTGACTTAAGGGAGTAGTTTTGGCAGATCTTTCTGGCTGTCTTAGCTAGAGGTAATTCTGCCATAACGAACTGAGATCCTTGCGTCGACTGCGCAACTTGCGCGATCAAAGAATAAGTGCTTTTCCCACAGTAGATTAGGGGTCATTGTGAACCTTGCAGTCTGGGAATTTGACCAAAGAGATTTCTTGCTCTTACCTATTCCAAAATTTTGTATGTGAGTTATCGGTGCTTCTAGTGCGGAGGAAGAATGTGACAAGAAGATGAAGGCACAAATACAAAAACACAATGCTCTACGATTAGATGTGTCGAATCTGCTCACTGATATGGATAAAGAAATAATGGAGCATTTTACTTTTCGTCATTAGTGTAATTACTTCTCTTTTTTCGGGTACTTTCAACTGGTGCAAGTTTTTCAAGTGTATTAGTCACAGTTTTCATGAATACGTTTGTTACCTCAATTTATTTATTTACAATATAATAAATAACCACGTAACAGATCGTCAAAGTCGAAGTAAATATGTTTCCCAGATCGTGAAGTTTGTGAAGCGGAGCTGCTGCTTCATGCTGCAAATATTCGGTGAGGCTATAGGGAAGAGTCTGCATCCAGGCACAACGCGTATGATTTATGAAAGTTTTAAATAATGCAACAATGCTTACCTTCACACATTTCTATCTCCTTTGGACATTTCCTGACATCGAGGTGCGTTTTGCACTTGGAATATCTTATACGTGAGCCCTTATCTTTCCGGCATGTGGACCATCTCGTCCACTCTCGCTGCTTTGTTGGATTCTCAAAATGCCCTTATTACTAGTGTCCTAGTCCTTTCGTGAACAAACCTCTGACACATCATCGCGCATTCTTCGAAAAAGCGCTGCATCTGGGTGTTCGAAGTAGATCATTTGATGGCCAGTGTCCTGTGCAAGTCACTTCATGTTTATGTTATCAGAGCAAAAGAGAGATTCAATTCCCTATAGGACGTTTTACACAAGAGTATCTAATTTTAGGTTTTGACTAAGTTTTGCAACCTCCTCCATAACTTTATTTCTCTTCGAATATGATGCGCTATAAAGTTTGAGCAGCATTATATAGGCTGCAGCGTGAGCTACAAGTGAGCACAAATTGTTTAATTTTTCTGAACCAAATAGAAGAAATTCAAGCAATTTTCCAAAACTATCGAAATCGGAATTTTACCAGATTACAAGCAAGATGAAGCCGTTCGCAGCCTAAATCAAACATATCGACCACGAACTATTGCAGAATCATTGTCAGGGACTGGCTCATCAAGCTTTGCGAAAAGTATTAGTAGTTTGGGACTGTTCGAGATTTGGCGTCCTCAGGAAGAAGAACGACGTAGCTGAACGCGAAATTGATGCTAACATCCGTTAATAACTAGTGAACGAAATCTCAGAATTCGCCAAGATGCATCATAGGGTATTCATGCATGCTAAGTACGGCTATCATACTCATTTGCCGTCAGATCGCCTTTTTATGTGATTTTGTCAAGAAGGCACTGTGCAAAACAGGATTTTCGATTAGCGTGTCAAACCCCTCCTCGTAAACGAAGTTTCAGGTGGCAATCTGAAACCATTCGGAAATTTTTTCTTTTTACCGTACACCTACCGTAACCCCTATTCGCATAGCCAGAACTGGGAACAAATGGCCGTATCTGTAGCTCACATCACAGTTTTAACAATGCCGAAATGTATACCAAATGCAAACAGAGAAAAGTTATAAAAATTGCAAAACTTGGTGATCAGCCTAATATTTCACAGTGATTAGTGTAAGTTTCAAGGAACTGGTAGCCAAAACCTACTTCGGGAATAAACAAGGCTGGGTGCGTTTTCCGAGATTCGCCATTCAGAAGACAATTCTAGGATTGAAGGTCAATGCGTATCCATACAAAAATATCTTCAGCTGATTCACCTGCTCTTTGTCCAATGGATACCACATTGCTGACATGCAATGAAAACCATGCTGCTTTAGTGCCTGACATTATAACAATTAATAACTGGTTGGTAATTTCATGTAAGTGCTGAAGTGAACACATTCAACTTCAAACAGGTAAATGTGCACTTTTTTACGCTTGGAATGACAGAAAAACCAAATTTGAAGCTTGCTTGCGCTACACACGACTTTCTCCAGTATCTAGCTTGATTCGCTATGAATGATCGCTTCACTTGGTTTCTCATAAGCACTTCGAGAATCAGATAACGATTTTTACGTCATAGCAGGCTGTGATGCAGTCTTCAACGCTGTAGGCGTCCTCAACTTGTTCCACAAATCCTGCCAAAATGTGGTTCACTGCACCAATTATATGTGTTGCTCTTCCTAAATGAAATAGATTGAGATAGGTTGAGATGTAGCGCTCAAAAATTTTTGAGATGTTTTGGGAAACGTTATTTTTGTTATGACAATAAGGATGAAGACTTTGTGAAAAGAAGTTGGCTACGCTTATCTTTGTCCAATCTTCACAACAAGAATGAATTATCATCAGACAAAAAAAAGGCCAGTAGCAAATATCAACAAAATACAGGGTGTCCCAAAAGTAAGTATCGAACGTTTGATCGTTAATAACTCTCTTCCCAAGAAGTCTTTTGCCTTGCTTCAGGTACCGTTTTGTAGAGCTGGCTTCAACTTAGATTTGCAGTATAGAACGAATCACTCATTTCTCTTCATTACTGTAGGATTACGGTAGAAACTTCAAGGAGGGTTTTAAGCAATGAAAGGCCATATTTTGCCCCAGAAAGGAAACAAAACAGCCTTGAAACTTTTACACTAGGCTAATTAGAGCTGCTGATTATAACTGTAAAGTTCCCAACTTATTATGATGCTTCATTGAAGAGTTATGCCAGGTAAGAAGTAGCGGCCATTTTTTCAATTCCTAAAAAGTGGGATTGCACGGTTTGGAAAGCTTCGTAATCTTGTGAATAGTTAATTATTGAACTCAGCGTCCATAAAAACCCTATTACACAAGTTTTCATGATTTTTTGAAAAATTTTGAAACGGCAGCTTTTTTCACATTAACGCCATATGTTTCAAGTTTCTACCGTAATCCTACAGTAATGAAGAGAGATGAGTGATTCGTTCTATAGTGCAAATCTAAGTTGAAGCCAGCTCTACAAAACGGTACCTGAAGCAAGGCAAAAGACTTCTTGGGAAGAGAGTTATTAACGATCAAACGTTCGATACTTACTTTTGGGACACCCTGTAGTATGTTCACATAAATCTAACGAAAGCCTTAAGGGCCGGGCATATTTCACACGATTTCAGTCGCGACGCGATTTGGCAGTTCGCCAGAAGTCTTCGGATCCAACATTAGCAAATTGCACCTGCATAGCGTGTATAACTTACGTGAACTGATGAAATGCCCTATCTTCTGTACATTTATAATGTGCTTACAATGAGTTTTGGACACCTGGAATATTGCCAAACCGCGTCGCGATTGAAATCGCTTGAAGTATGCCCGGTCCTTTAGATGTATAACATTCTCATGTCTACGGCTGCCCCGGTCATCCCTACACGTGTTACACATCCATTACCTTGAGGGCGGATATCATGCAGTCCATGGTTTAAGCTCGCAGTGCATAGTTCTTGTTTGTGTTTATTTTCGGGTGCAACCTTATTGTGGAAATAAGTAAAATAAGAAGTAAGTGTGTAATTTTTGTCTGAAGATTTCATTTTGATACCAATCATCTCCTGATGTGATAGCAAATAATAGCGAGGGAACATTGAAATCTAGAGCCTTTTCTCATCACATGCAAAAAAGTGAACTTGAGTGGAATGAGAGTAGGAATAGCTTATAAGTTTTAAATAGTCCTCATGTAAATGTAAACGTAAATTAAAAAATAAAACTTGATGTTCGCTGGCCTTATTCTTTAACAAAGTTCAAGGCAAACCTCTTATTACGGAGCTTGCGACGCAGGCTTTTTCGATATAAGTGTCTTCTGCTGACGGCCTTATGTCGGGAACAGTGTGTCGAGCTCGTGTTGCGGACATCTCGCACAGATGAGAGGAGTAAACGGCCGAAGAACTGAAATTTTTTTATGCAACACTTCAATAAATAGCGAACAACAATATTGAAGTCATGTAATTCTTCATTCAAGAAAACTTGCCCTGATATTGAAATATAGAAATGTCAAGGTAAAAAGTAATGAGTTGCAAGTTATCTACCAATCCAAGCTTCTTTCGCAGAATTCCAGGCAATCCTCCTGATTCTGTGCTTTTACAATATCAACAGCAGGTGTGTAAGCCTTTCGTGTCGAATTCACAAACAACATCATAACGACTTTCTCCTTGTCATTGCAGACGCTCGACGTAAGATTCTAAATTAGTATTATCGAAAAGTGGCAAAAAAGAAAATAAATGCTATATGTCTTGCACCAATATTATACAACACTCTTTCTAAAAATGTTTGAAGAACGCTTTGAGTTGTGATATTTTTTATATATAACATATGCCTCCGTGACCAAATACTTTCCTTACTGTGTACCATTTGCTCACAAATATGAACAGAGGTTTTTCCGTCAACATCTTTTGAATTTATCTTGTTAAGCGTTAGAGATTATTCGGGACAAGCCTTTTAGCTTTAGTAGCCAATACATTTGAAAAATTTTCTTATCTGCTTCCATCTCCATAATACACCAACATTTACTTTAGCTCAAAGATTACTAGAAAATTGAGCTTTATCAAAATGAAGTTTGTAAAAATTTAAGAAATTACGTTTCCAATAATTTTAGGCAAAGTTATGGGCCAGTGTAGCATATGAACTATTGCAAAAGAGTTGTTAATGGAAAAACCTCCATTGATATTAGCAAATGGTTAGCTAGTAAGGAAAGTAGCTGATTACGGAGACTCTCCATTTCCTAGGATATCGCTGACATCCATATAATTCTACATTGTTTCCTTCAATGTCCCTCATTCTATTTCTCTCATGCTTTCTGAGGCCGAAAAAGTTTCTTCTGAAAATTGGCCAAAAAGTGTCAAATCGTAGCTATGTGACCGGATCATTGCGCAAGATCATTAGTAACAGGTTTGTTAGCTTTGAGGACTAGAGTGGTCGAGAAGGGAAATTCTCCCGTAAAAGCTAAATTATAGCCAATTGAAAAGTTGCGTTTACATAGCTGAAGCTGCACAAAAAAGAACATCACTTGCGTTGTTGGACATGCATTGGCTATACACTACAGTACGAAGAGATCTAGGCATGAGTCTTTCTGCAAATACACGGTAGCAAAAAGCATACAATGGAACATAAGTCTTGCGTTAAAATTTCGAATCCATGATCCCCTCCACTTTCAATAAAACCATTCAATGTCCAGAGAAAGAAAGCTTGGGTATCTAATAGTGCTAAAGCAAAAATTACTGTCATACAATTTTTCAACTCATTCACTAGAAATGCTAAAAGCCTCTCTAATTTTGATTTTGATTGATCGTACTGATCGGGTGTCTACAAAAAGTTGCAAATTCTGGAACTCTTTTTTGAGTTCTTTTGTTCAAACCAAAATTTTCAAATATTAGGTTGTCCGGAAATTGATATCCGTTTTGATTTTCGACCGCAATAGGTCATGTCTCAATTCTTTATAGGTGCCACCGCAAATAGGTCATGTCTCAATTCTTTATAGGTGCCAAGTACCAATGGAGCAGAACAAGCTCTATACGATAATATTCTTGTTTTCACACTCGCTTTAATCCACCAAGTTTGAGGCCAAAAACTAAAAAGATTTAATTAGAAAAATCATAATTCCGTACAAAAAATATTAGACATAAGTCTAGTTTGCTCACATATGCAAGTTCCAATTCTTTATATATACCGTTGCTGTATTGTTTTTTCGTTTGTGAAACCAAGAAAACGAAATTTGTTCCTTTGCCGAAATGATGCTGCGCTGTTTTCACATGAGTAATTGCACACTACAAACCTATGAAGACGCAAACGTAATTTTTCAGCTCCATACAAGCTCTAGTTATGAAAAATGTGGATCGCTGCTGGGAGACCTGATTAGCGAGTGCCATATTCATTACTTCTCGAGAAGTAGAGCTTTGGAGTGCTAAAAATTTAGATTTTTACTCCCACAACGTTGTAGTACACAATAACTTATGTGGGAACAACGCAATATCACTTTGCAAAAGCATGAAAATTTCGTTTTTTTGGTTTCTAAATGAGGAAAAAATACAGCAATGGTATGTATAAGGTCTGATGTGGAAAGTGCATATGTGAGCGAGCTAGGATTTTTGTAGGATTTTTGAATGGAGCTACGATTTTACCCGACTTTGCAAGCAGTCAAATCTTTCTAGTTTCTAACTTCAAACAGAGAAGGATAAAAGCTGGTGTGAAAGCAAGAACCTCATCGTAGAGCTTGTTTTGCCCTATGCCACTTACAGAAGGTGCAAAATTTTCGTGAGTTGGGGAAATCCGAGCAAGTCCGCGATATTCCGGAAATTTTGCGACAGTCACGGAATTTTCGCACATTCTGTGAGCGCTGTTGTATACAGAAATGAGAAATGACTTATTGCGGTTGAAAATCAAAACAAACATTAATTTCCGTGCAACCCAATATATGTGAGACGCTAATAATACGCACTGCGTAAAAATGTTATTCTGTAAAACGGTACATAATTTTTGAATAAGCTTCCATAATCTTTCTGCAGAAATTGGGTTCCACTCTAACGCCCACGTATATTGTTTAGAGTCTGCTCCTAGAACTTAATTATTTTCACCTCCTTTTTCTTCTTTGCTGACTTCGACTTCTTGACCATCGGCTCAAGTCCTGACGGTGCGTCCACTTCTTCTTTACCTTTGAGAAGTGCTGTACCATGCATCCTCCAGTACTGCAAAAACAATTTTTCTACAGTAGTCCTTTGTTATAATGACGTCTTTTCTCACTTTATGTTTCAACTCTTTCGATACGAAATTTCTTATCTCCTTCGATAACGCGGCTCTCAGAGCTGCAGGTGAAAGGCCTAAATGCAAGATAAAATTCTATAAATTGTTAGCATTTTTTGCATTTAGATTGATAGTTTCTTACCAACAGTCGATGTTGTGCCTTCTAAAGTCAATGAGGGAGCGTTTGTCACGATTGTTGTATGCTAGAAAAAAATACAGAGCCTTTTTAGGCTTGAAAAATCGTTTCATGTCTTACCCCGGATTTGCGAAGCTTCCTTAGGGAAAGTCCTTTTTTCATTGGTTTTCTCTCATCCACTTTCTTCTGTCTGTGCTTGCCAGTCTTAGATTTGGTAACATCGCCTTCATTTACTGTTATCTCCTCCTCATCAGCTGCTTGCTCCTTGCTCCAAGGATCATCAAAATCTTCTCCGCTTACATCACCGTAAAGTCGTTGACCTTCAAGACGAACTCTTCGCATCTTGACCTCAGGAGCTTTAGCTTTAGCTTCCGCTGCTTTCCTCATCTGATAAAGTTGGATCTTCCTCCTAGCGAGCTCTGAGGTCAGATCTTGGATTACTTCTGTAGTTGTGGCCAGGGTCTGATTTGTTCTAAACACTCTAGCGGGTCTCCTTCTGATAATTTTCTGAGGTCTACGCCTTTGGCTCTGGCCCGGGTAAAGGGTTGCTGCCTTGTACTCTTCATTCAATTCAAGTCGCACTTGGCTCTCTTTTAATTTCTTCTCCTTATTTTGCATTTTCTTAGTCCTTGTCTTTCCAGCAGGTTTTCTTCTAATGGTTTTTGTTGATGCAGGAGATTGAGTTGTAGTGGGCGCCGTGGTCGGTTCAGTGGAAATATCCGTTTCCATCGTCTTTTCTCTGCAAGGATCTTCTGTAGTAGCCGGTGTGGTTTCTTCTGTCTCTGTCACTGTTGTTAATGTTTCCAAATCCATGGCTATTTCCTCTAAGTCCGGAACTGGCAAAACAACCTGAAGAAATCCCATCATCCACAAACTGAGAACACAAGAAAACCAGCTACCTCTGATTTTATGACTGGAGGCGAAACAGTCATGAGCATCTTTTCTTTGTTGATTTTCTGCAATTTGCGTTCCTTTCGCTTTTGTTCTTTCTCTTTCTTCTCAAGTTCTCGTTTCTCTGCTTCCAGCTGTGCTTCTATCGGTATCGCGTTGTAAATTTTTTCCACCTGCTCCGTTTTCACATCAGATGCCTTCAATGGTTAGAATGGGATGGACAAGTTAATTTGTGCTATCATGTCGGTGGACAACCATTATCATAAAAAGACTAATTATTGGGTTATCTAAGTCCCTTTCTAAACAACTCAAGCTGTTTTTGTTTTCCTGGAAGACTTAAAGTACCATTCGATAGAACGAAGCTCTACAAAATGACCACCAAACGTCTACCTAAGTCATAATGCTGGTATAAGATTTGGAGCCACAAATCAAGATTTCCCAACTACCCTCAAATTGGATCTTCTTCCAGAAAATTTTTACGGACCTCTAACTTGGTTGTTGTACAACACATAGTAGTACTCAAAAATGTAGTTGTTGAATTATTTCTGGGTTTCAAAATCAAGAAATTAGCACAGTCAAAAAATGCAAAAATGTCACTTTTCCATATTTTTTGTATCAAATTTGGTATTTCTCAAGATGAGTTGGGGGTGGAGTTTGCCATTTTTGGATTACCGTATTTTTCTTGCTTTCTATGCACGGAAAAATAGTAAAAGCATTTTTGCATACTCTTTTGTTTGCCGTACAAGATTTTTTTTGCAATTTTTTAGAACCCAGTTTTCGAGTAAGAAGATTTTTTTGATTTTGGCTCCGAACTTTACCTGATTTACAACCTAGATGATCTTTTGTAGTCATTTCGTAATTGCTTGATTCTATCGGATGGTAGTCTAAGTAAGTCTGCCAGGAAAACAAAAACAGCTTGATTTATGTAAATAAGGAGTTTACTTTTGGGTTAATCTATACTGGCAGAAAAACCGTATACTAACCTTGGGAGGATCATTTGAGCATTTTTCGATGTATCTCTTTTCGATGGCGATTTGCTGCTGTCGAGCAAAGTCGTTCATCCGTGAAAGCTCATCATCGGATGGAGGAAGTGCTGCGAGATATCTAGAATGTCAGCGAATTGTACAAGATTTTACATTTCAAACTCCTGAGAACATAATTTGTTAAAAAAATTGATCTTTGTAACCAAAATAATGTGATTACTATGTTCTTCTTTTTTACTCCATCAGCAAAATCTTGGCAAGATTTCACTTTTTTCTCGAATCTGCACAGCTTGATTTTAATAATGATTTTCCCACTGAAGATGCAAATGATTTCAAAACTGCGTGTAACAGATTTGGTGGAAAGTACAGTGTAAATGGGAACAGAAATGTTTGCACATGACCAGAAAAGCAAATGTCGTTCTGGGGTTGACCCAATACGATTTGTCTATAAAATCGTAATTGGTTCAGAAGATGGGTTGCGTCACAATCTCATTGGAATTGGATTTTCGTGCAATCATTGCTCCAAAGGAAATACTTCTAAGTTTTTATGCCATTATGAAATTGGGTAAAGGCTTCCAATAGGAAGTTGTAATAAAAACGTACTCAAAATAATCTCTTCCTTTATAATCGACCAAAGTGAACGGAGCTGCGCTAGCGACAACAGCGAACAAATCGCAGATGTGCCAGTTGCTATCATAGACGACCGATCGGCATGTCCATACTCCTCCCTGAAAATATTCACAGCGTTTTCTACGACGTTCCACCCAGAATCTACTCTATAATTTTCTCGCATCTCATGGGCCACTGCACGCGATTTTGCGGCCACTCCTCCAGGCCCGACCTGTCTCCTTGAGAACATACTCGACAAGGGTTCGCGTGGCGTTTACTTTCGACCGAACAGGTTCGGCTAATTGGCGAGCGCCGAACGGGTTCAAAAGGTAGCAGTGGACAGAGGATCAGACGGAAATCGCTTTATGACAAAGGTAAATGTAAGATCCGCAATTTGATTAGGTCATGCAGGTGCCCAGACGTTCCTCCGAATGTTAGAAAACCTTCACGTTTGCAGTAATTTTGAGATAAGAAGTATGTTATTGACTTGAGCGATTAGCGATAATTTGATTGGACTGTACAAAATTATTCGGATAATTTTCTTGTAGTTTTGTGTGGACAAATGAGATGACTGAAGCATATAAATGCAAATATAAAAAGCCTAGCAACTTGTCTCGGTAATTTTGATTTAATTTAACATTTTTTATTTCTGTAACAATTCCTTAGGAGTCATGGATGAAAAATTTCGCAGTTTAAAAACTACCCTAATTTCATGCGTATAAGGCGCACTTTTTCGAATTTTCAAGCGAGCCGCTCAGCCGCTTCACTGTATTCCGGAAAGAAATCCTTACGCTGCACGATTTTTTTAAGCAATATACAGCACGTTACAGGGTCCTTTAATTGTGAAGTCCTTTGGCTTATCTGGGAGGAAAATCTCTTGTTTGCTACGTGGGCTGCTTCAATGAAAAAAATATTTTTTGTGTTCCATTTGATTGTACCAAACATTTTCGCGCTGGATAGCTTTCATCGCCTGAAACCCATGCACGAAGAGCGTAACCTGCCCATTCCCTACAAATCCCTGATTTACAAAATTCTAAAGTTAGGCCTCTTTGGTGCCGCGATGAAGCCAATGTCGCAACATTTTCATTTGACGCGGCGACGGTTCTCAGATTTAAGTGAAAACATCAAAATAGTCCGGAAACCTTTTGAGATATATTACTGCGTTTGTCTAAAAGTGACAAGAGCGAGACTGTAACAGAACGGAGTAGCAGGAAAAGAAGATTTTTTAGCCGTGCTCTCAGTTACCTTTTCAAAAGAGAAAAGCAATTTATAGAAAAAGATTTGTAACTCAGTAACCGCCTCCGTAAAAGTTCGTCCATCACTTCGTTAAAAAGGGCTTTGCCCCAGCAGCATTTCTCGACTTTTTTCCCTTATACGAGCTCACCTGTTTTTCAGTGCATCTGTCCAAGCACTCGCGGCAGGATCCGCCAGTTCTTCTGTCAAACATGACGGCGTAAGTGAGCGTGGACTCCATATGAAGTGCCCATTTGTCGGCATCTTAATGAGATTCACAAATGTCGATAAAACTCGATTTCCATACATATTCTGGTTCAATAGTTCAAGTGAAATTTTGCGACTTTGTTTGAAAAAAAGAAGCGAGATCCGTATTTGAGACTTCGCAGAAGAAGTGCTAAAGGAATTCAATACCCGGATAAGGGCTTGCTTACCATAGGAGCAGCGAGGTAAAATATCTATTTCACGACGTACTGTTGGCGGTGGTGGACGATATCCTAATGAGGACTGAAAACAAAATTTTCACTTAAGCTAAAGAAGACCATAAGTTACAAGCTAAAGCTAGGCGTATCATCACAACAAAGCCAGCTTCGTAGCTCAATAATGTCTAAAAAAAAGCATTTTCAAATAACCGAAGAACATTCAGGCAGAATCAATGCAGTAGTCCATCGGCACAGCTAATAGATTTTTTTGTGAGATAAATAAATTTTCAACATTATATTTTCAATATAATTGAATCAATATATAGGCAGCAGTAATTTATTGTTAACTGATAGAGTAGAACTTTTTGTGAAATCAAAAAAATTTTCAAAAAGTCAAAGATTGAGGAAATAAACTTACAAATTTTTTTTGAAAATTCTAACAGAAATGACTTACAGCAGATGCGAGGTTGGACGCTTCACTGTCGCTTATACTTAATTCTTTTGCGCTATCTTTTGTCTCCATTCGTCTAAACGGAAATAAATTTTCATACTATTTTCAACAGAGTACGCTGAGTTTTATGAGTATTATGAACGAACCTCTTTGATTTTTGAGCTCTGAGAGTATTCAGTGATCTTCGAAAATTTTGTACACCGTAGACAACCTAAAATGCATCCAATGATCCTTTTACATATAATAAAAGCTCACAAAAATTTTTTTAGGGCTTACCGATCTTGATTCCAGTGGTGCGGGTTCTCCACGGCCGTATATGCGCTGCTCATCAGGAACAGCTATATCCAAAACGGCGCCTCTGCTGGAAGATGCGAAAGGATGCACCATAGCATTGTGCGTTTCTGTGTAGTCATTCTGAAAGGAAGCACTTCGTTTATTAAGCGTTTGGGTCTCTAACTTACAGCGTATCTGGGAGACATCGGGAAAAATCCGCTATTCAAAGCGTCAGCAATCCCTGTGTGGAGAACGAAAAAAGAAAAAGCAGCGATGCTGTACATTTTGAGGACGAAAGCGCAAGGGCGACAGAGCGCTGGAGGCGTGGCAAATCACCCCTCCTTATGTTCCTTACGCACTGCACCTGGATGATCGTAATCCAATCACTGAACAGTCCTAGACACCCTCTAAATGATGGCTGATTGTTCGGGAGGGGGATAAGTGAAGTGCAGGGATAAGGTCTGGAAGCAGAAGGGGCGGAATGTCCAGGAGTTAAGCCTCAGGGAGAGATTGATAGTCGCTACGACTGTGAAGCGAGAAGAGACTCGATTTCGGAAGAAGCTAGGTCAACGACGAAGGGAAGACGAGGCGCCCTGCATGTCCGGTACCACATGAAACCCGTCCAAAACGCTGTGAACAACTGGTATTCTTCTCGAGAGTTCGCGGAGATACCACACAGCACATTAGCCAATTAAATTTCTCGTAGCAGGTAGGAGGATCTCCCATCTGGATCAATGATAATCACTATGACTCATAACATTATATTTATTAAGTTGACTGAAAAATGATGTCGTTTTTTCATACAAAACTCCACAAAAAGTTTTCTTGCTGTTTCTTTGTCCATGATTTTTTGTGGATAAGTAGTTCAAAGCTTCTTCTATCACATGTTAGCCAATCAGGAGTTTCTACTTTCAGTAAAGGATAGTTATGCTTCAGAATGGCCAAATTTCCGAAAGCGCAGTTCCAAGACTTTGCAGACCTCGTTTTCGTGCTGCAGTGAATGTAGAGAGGAGTGCATTGATACTTGGATACAGCAAGTTTTTCTAATTAGAAATAAAAATTGAATTTGTGATCTGATCTGCCATCCTTAAATCCTTTTAATGAAAAATCGAAATTTTCCCAAATTTGCACATAGTGAGGAAATTGGGGTGTTTCAATTTTTTGCCCCTTTTGTTTATGAGAAAAAAAGATTTCAATCAAACAGCATTTATAGTACATTCCAAGTCCCATTGGAATGCTATTTCCAGATAGTGCAATCGCTAGAAGAAAATTTGTCTGCAGCATTTGCAGGAGCAGCAAAACGAAATTTTTTATTAGCCCATTTGTCTAGAGTCTTACTGCGAAATACCTTGGTTATACTGAAGATTTTAAGCTGAAATTCTGCCTGAAAAGTATGTTAAGCTAATCGCATCTACCATCGCACATAATAGCGCCTCAGGCTAAGGGATTATGTAACAGGACCAGAAAACCTACCCGCATTTTTACTCCAAGGCTTCAGATCCGGTCACATTACGTACGGAACTTCTATGGCGTTGGATGTATGTTCATCGTGTTCAAATAATCCCTTTTCTGCGCTTGTACTTATAAGGCTATTTTTGTAACGCCTTCCCTCAGGGATAGGAATGCACAAATGAAGTGATTTCCAAAATTCACTGAAAAGCTTGAGTTTGAACTTTAACCAACTAGTATAAAACAGTACAGCAGACTGCAAAAAAAACACGCAGTATTGGATGGAATAATTTTCTTTCGAGATCATTACGATTATTCGTGCTAACAGATCTGCACGTCTTCTTTTATGTTCCCTAGATTTATGAGAACGATATGTAAGGAGCGAAAGTCTGGAGCGCTGTTTGTCATCCATCATATTGCGAGAATCGCAGTAGTAATCCTGCTGCAATTTCCGGTGTTCAAAGGAGGTATGAGCGGTATCGAAATTGGATAAATCTATACATATATCATTTGATTCAACTGGCTTGGCATCGGCAAAGGCGGGGCTTCGTGACCTAATTAAGGCTAGGTAATGATCAGAGAGCACTCGCGCGAGAGAGACGCAGGTGCGTCGCTGGCGCCCCCCGAGTCGAAATCCTGGGTACGCCACTGGCGCTAAGTTCTGCACACATATGTTTTCAACCTTGGCGCAGACTATAAGCTACTTTTTCAGCGATTTGCTTAGTTCTTCTATGAACTTTATTGATTTGTTTACTTACATCAAAGAAAATGAAGGCTTATCAATTAATCGGGTTATGTAGTCATGTAAAAGGGACGGTAGAGCATTTATATTTCGCTTGAATGCGATGTTTCAACCAGGGCTTGGCATAAGTGGCTCATGATGCAGGCTCGGGCAAAGGGAATGTCGTTTTTGCGGGGTCCGCGGAGAAGCCCCGAAAAAATGTATGTATCTTAGATAGTTGTATATGAAAAAAACGACGATATCTACGTGCAAAATCCGGATTGGAAAATTATTTCAGGGACTTTCTGATATGCAAGGCCTAAAACTGGATTTTTTTAGAAAATTAAATGAGTAAAAAACTTCGACGAGTTGACTACTTCCGCCGAATAACTCAATAATTTTGCAACCCTCCCCCTCACAAAATTATACCAGAGTTATCACATGGGGTCGTTTCAGACTGCCGCACTGATCGCAGCAGACTGCAGTAGATTGCAACTGACCGCACTGACTGCAACGGCCGCAGCGGCTGAAGCCTAAAGATGAAGAGGATAAATGGCTCAAACAAACAACAACAACAATATATACCTAAAAGCAAAGGACAACACGGGCTAGAGTGTTAGAAAACAGGTATATGCAATGATAGGAGGAATTAGAACAAATACGAACATACCAAAGAAAAACTATTGCCAAAATTTGATTGAGAAGAATTGTGATAAAACTTATGTTATTCTTAGGCGTAAATCACGCTGTTTTGATAATCGGTTGCGGTTGTTTTTCTTTTACGAAAGGAGGCGGCGACCGGTGCGGTCAGTGCGGTCAGTTGCAGTCAGAGGTGCGATGGGGGGAGCCGGGCCCACCAAAAGTGAAGGTGGTCCCAGCTACTACTGCTCGGCCAAAAGTGAAGGTGGTAGTGCCGGACACTCACCTCCCAAAAACGTCGACGGGGGGGGGGGGGGCAGAGCATCAACGTCTATCCTTCCAGGTCTTGCTGCCAGTGCGCGGAAAATAAGCAAAACAAATGCATATATATATATATATCAGTGGCGTACCGAGGGGGGGGGGGCGCCCCCCTCCGAGAACGGGTCGCGAAATTCTTGAAAGTTACTTATATGGGTTATAAACAGGGTTGAGCGTGAGGTCAGGCGCGCCCGATCTGGGGGGTCGTCTTGGGGGTATGACTGAGGGAGGGGGGGATCGTAATTAAGAACCGAATCCGTTTAGTTGGGGAGATACTACGAAGGTGAAGAAGAAAGCGCTAGTCCGGTGGTTATCGCAATCACCAGTACTGAAGGAATGACGGTCGTGAACAGCATACGGATTGTTTCCACAATCGAAATTTCAGCCAAATTCAAGTCTTCATCTTTTACCTTCACATATTATGAGGTCGCCAAGTAAGCTTGCTGTGTGAAATGGGTATTATTTCCGTAATCAGCATGTCAGATTACCTCTATGAGCTCTAAAGTCATTACCTACCACATTTTCTAGTGTTTCGCAAGTCTAGAAAGCGTGATTTTCAAACATGATTAACTTGGCTTCAAAACTGAAAATAGTAGGCTTTTTTATACTCGTAACAAAGTATCGTTCCTTACAAGTCTATGCTAGAAATCAGGCTTCATATCGCTTTTAAATAGTGAAGTAAGAAGTGCTGCCAAATTTCCAACCGGCGCGTTCTTCACATTAAGTGCTTTAACTCTACGGATTACTACAGGGCCGAAACAATCTGAAACAAGCTCAAACACTTATTGTGGAATCTTCGAGAGTTGTGCTAGCAAATCACATAGAACTTGGATAAAAAAGCTTCCTCGAAAATAAAGTTAATGGGGTCAGGCGCAACTCCTCAGGTCAAGCCGCCTGAGCTTTTGAGGGGTTGCGCCTGACCCCCTTAACTTACCTTCAATATTGAAAAATCGCTCCTTTTTAGTATGAGTATTGAGCGGAAAGCCTCTTCTTGCTGTATTGAAAATTTGGAGCCAAATACTCCACCCCTGCAAAAACTATAACTCTGAAAAGAGCGCTATCCAAATTCAAAACTTGCCGTCAAGTTGCGTGTGGTTGTGCAATCGCAGAAAGTCGTGCCTGCAGATTCAAAAAATAGAAACCTGTAGTGAAGGCTAGCCTTATAAATAATACAAGTCTGGTTTATGGAAAAATCTCGCATTCGCAAGATATATTAAACGTAGCATAAATGTTCGGTTTGGGAGGAAATCATAGAGAAACGTAAGGAGAAGTTCGAGACTATGAATGAGAGTGAGGACGAAGTCGTTCACCTTTTCGGCTTTCAGAAAAGTCATTGTCTGCACCGGTTTCCGGGGGTTTTTTTTTTTGAAGAACATGTAAGTAACCCCGATATGCATTGAATTTCCAGTGAAAATATTGATACAACCGGCTATCATTTTTCCACATTCCAACAAGCTAGAACTTTCTGGGGAATTTCTGGACCAGTTTTCACTGCTCCAACTAGTACTCTCGTCACTTATGGAGGTCGTGCAATGGGGCAATGTTTATCCAACAACGGTAACCGTTATGTCCAAGGAAGAACATCCCTATTGTGCAGACTACTAGTACAAGCTTCTGATCAACCATCAATGGCTGCCTCATCGTATCCCTTACACAGCGAAGAAAAATACCTATTTTCTATTCTATCTAACTGTCCAGTGTTCGAATCAAAGAAGGGGCCTAAGAAAACGAACCAAAGAACCAAAGAGGAGCAAAGACCAAAGAGAACCTCAGCTTTCTATCCTAAATGTTCAGCTATGCTTGAGCAGAGAATGTAAGCCAAGGTGCGACGAGAAACCAAGCTAAAATTTTTCTATTTTGTACCAGAGCGTCACTGAGAACATGCTTCGCATCCGAACCCTGATGTTGCACCGATCACCAGCTAGAAGCTCTCAAAACAGCGCAAGCTAACGATTACTTTTTAGTACAGATGCTAGAATATGTCACAGCAATAAGCTGCATAGTAGTGCCCGTTATGATAAATTTCATGTCGATTCCGCCTATGGCATAGGTCGGGTGGCCACGAAATATCCAGGAGGA